CAGTATTTTAAGTAGTTTTCACACTTAAAATACTGAATCAGAGTTGATCTCACTGTCTGGGATATGAAACTTCATTAGAAGATGCGCAGTGAGGTTTAAAAAGGCTGAGAAACCATGTGTATGTCAAACACATGTTTAAAAGATACCTCTAATTGAAAGTCTCTGTGATGGAATAACTCCACAAGTTTCACTTTCAGAGATTTTATGGAGTACTCCTATCTTGATCCTGGGCATTTATACCATATTTTGCAGCAGGAGATTGAATTACACTCACATCGCCAATACACAGTCATCAACTTTTCTGACTTTCCTCCCTCGCCCACCTATCAGTAAATACAAAGTCATGCCAACAGTCTAGTATCACATGGTGCTGTATTAATTGCAAGGAGGGCAAAATGGGAAATATCATACACACTAGGTTGAAGGAAGTGTTTAGTACAGAGAGGAGGTTGGGAAATGTGAAAGGGAGACACTTGAACCAAACATTTTTCTAACACCAGTGCTGCTGCACGCCCACGGCAGCAAAAGCAAAATGTTAAACTGCAGAGTAAAATTTGAGACACTTTCAAAGGATGGAAAGGATCATTAAATATCATTACAAAGATGGCTCATTTGGAGCACGGCAACATACTTCCCTGAATCACAGTAACAAGCAATCATATTTATCAAAAATGGAAACGAGGGCAAGCGATGACTAATATGCAGAAATGTTTAACATCAGGGAAATTGTAAATGGCTGTAGAGACAGATGTTGTCTGATACACACTTGGGAGCAAAGTTAATTGGTGCACTACATGATGAGTAAAATAATATGATGAAAGCCTAACAAATGTGGGACTAATGTCAGTCATTTGCATGGCCCACACACTGGCAGTGCCTGTCAGCACACAATCTTATGGAAATGTGCTTTTAAATTTACACATCAGCCACATGTTTGAATAAGTCAAACAGTCAAATTTTATATGCAAATGATGGCAAAATTCAAAAGTTCAATACTGTCATACCACGGCAACAGTCTATATGCCTTTTGTCCCTTTTTTAAAACAACCTGATCACAATTAACAAATCACTGAAAAAGTTGTAAGTGAACAAACTCTCTGAAGTAAAAAAGCTCACCTTTACAAATTCCACAGTGAGCTTTCCATTGAAAGTAGACACCTCTTCTTGCACGCTCAGTTTACCACGTCTAATAGAGAAAGAGACGATCTCATCATGAGCCGTACTGTGACCAACTCGTTCAAAGATATCCAGGTCCTTCACCACCACATGGCCGTTTAGACGGACGTCAAACACCTTGAACATCAAACACCAAATGTATAAATTATTAACAGCTAATACACACATGGTGTACATAGAAAATGACAGCAATATGCCTTTCATTCACCAAACAAAAAGGTACAAGCAAAATTGAGCAAAGATCAGAAAACAGCAGCTATGGGATTTTTGAGACTTCTTGAACATGGCAGACAATATAGTATATATATTTTTTTTAAATCACATTTGTATTCATGTCTACTGTGGCCAACTGTCTGCTTAGCTGGGCTCTAGGTGCTGCAGATGGAGCTGTGCATAATGTAAGATATGGTATTGGATCATGCTCTGTGGACAAATTACATGATGACACTATTCTTAATTTACCACGGACATTGTTGTTCAGTAAAGAAATATGTAACATCAGCGCATAAAGGAAAATACATACAATAATCAAATAAATCTGCAACAGGCCCACATTGGTTTTTAAAAATGTTACCTTCAGTACATGGGATTCATTTATTGTCATACCTTTTGTTGTGACTGGGCAAAGTACACCTCAGCATACTTCATAACAAGGATATAGTCCCCCTCCTCCCGAATGGGAATATCATATCCAAAAGTGTCCTCATTGTAGCGCTCTGTCTGATACAGAACCTGGTCATCAGGACTGGAGCGCAGTATTGGGAGCCGTAACCCATAATCAGACGCTACAAAGAAGAAAAACATTAAGTCAGTGTGCACTAGTGTTTTCACCATTACATTAATAGCAACATAACTGGAAAATTGAGCATGGTTTAAGTTTAGTACGTACCAAATTACACAAGCCTTGACCTTTTCCTGCACTCACAGAAATACAGACCCCCTCTGTCTTAAATGGCAAGTTACCACATTGTGATCACTCCAACATGCTATTACAGAATCTTGGCCTTAGAGGCAAAAATGACTCCCTACAGTCAATCTGATCACATCATCACCTGCTTCCTCTACTTGCTGAGAGGGGGCGGAGCTGTGGTGCTTTATGCTGACTCCTCGTTAGGTTTGTGATTACTTGCGGAAGCCAGAGCTTGCAGGGGATACCGCTGGATATATCTATTCCTCTGAGGACAACTTGCACCTCCACAATGTCATTCAGAAACAGCAAAACAGGCAAACTCATAAGCACTTGACCGATGATAAAAATCGACTCACATTTGCCAACCTTTCCCTCCAATGGGTCCTTCTTGAAGTGAATGCCGTGCACGTCTACATGTGCCTCACCTCCGGCATTTACAGCCCAGATAACCCGATCGGCGAGGCTGGGGCCCCCGCTGTCCGCACAGCTCTGCTCTGCCAGCAGCGACAGCACCGCTGCGACCAGCCCGACGACGAGCTGCATAGCCCCACACAGCCTGGTCCTGGACACACACACACACACACACACACACACACAGACACAGAGACACACACACACACACACACACACACAGGGACACACACAGACACACACAGACACACACAGAGTCGGTATCTGCGAGCCTGCAGCACAGATTCTATACGGAAACAGCCTTCAGAAATGTAACACACACCACACAAGGTTAGCAAGCAGCTAGTCAGCTCGTCCAGATGACATGCAACATGATATTTGTAGTTTAGCCGGAATGCTAACGTTAACAAGCACCAATACCGGTAGTAGCACTAGCACAAGAGCACACAGCGACTCAGAAAATGACATGAATTTAAGAACAAGTCCGTCAACTTCACGCTAACAAATGCATATTACATTTGAAGAAAACAGGCAAACAGTGACAGAAAATGAGCAACGTTAGCTAGCAAACCTACCTGTCTAACCAGAAATACTTCTCTAACATCTCTTACCTTCTCCTTCCACAAATATCTTCAACCCGTCTGTTTCCAATATGTAAACGTCTCTATATTGATTCAGCCTCACACGGTGTCTATACGTTGTCAGATAACTTTCCTGAGCGCAGATATTCTTAGTTTCTGGTGGTTACAGCCTGTTAAACTGACTTTCATTCAATGTGTGCATCCAGACTAACATCTGCTGCTAGCTACAGCGGCTGCCAGTGTGCAGGAGGCGGGGCATCGCAACCTAACATGAGCGCACCACTAATGATTGACAGGTCCCATGTCGAATCACATCCTTGGGTTTAGGTTTCCTGTACTTCACACTGCAATGTAGTATAATAAAATAATCACACTGTGTGTAAAAACGTACAAATCAAATGAAATGTATAGGCTACGTAATAATATTATAGGTTGTAAAATATGTATGCTCATATATTCTAACTTTGATGGACCGAACCAGGACCACCGAAACCCTTTTTTTTCTCCACGTCAATTGAGATATTTGAGAATATTATTCCCCGAGTTTAGCCTTTTAGGTAGAAATCACAGCGAACACTCCCTGTAATTATGAAATGATTGCAATCATGCCATCCATTAATTGTAATTGGTTTAAAAGGAAAGTAAAATAATGGGAGTATAATGCAAAACTATGGGCAAGGAATTTGATAGACTTCAATATAACAACTAGTTTGTGACAAGAAGGGATTGACCAGTTTTATAGATGCTATTTTGTTTTACTTTCATTACTGAAAATTGACCTCATTTCATTTTTATATCGTGGTCTCCTATGCTCCACTGTTTAATATAACAAACCTGCAAAGCTGAACATTGAATAGGTGTGGTCATTGCCAACACTCAAACGGTTAACCAAATCAAAAGCTTCTGCAACATTATTATATTATTATTATTATTATTATTATTATTATATTTCATACATAATTCTTCAAAAGACCGCACAATATGTGTTTTCTGATCAAGTAGTATTACACGTGTTCTTTAAGACGCCTTCACGCCCCTCTCCTTCCGGTGTGGTATGGACCGAGTTTTGTCCAATCAGCAGAGTCCAACGCAGCGCGCACACGGCGCACTCGAGAGCGGACCTGAAAGGAATGAATGAGGATAGTTGCTATGGCAACAGGAATACCTTTTTGAATGACAGGTGTTTTGTGACCGTTTTATTCTTAACCTAACACAGCATTGTAAACATACGGTGAAATATACTCTATATACTAACACCAACAAATCAGCCTGGTATTGTTAAAATGTGCCTCAACATGTGGTGCTTTAGATTAGTCAATCACATTTGCAGATTTCTGCTATAAACTTATGTTTCTGTCTGCGATGTATTTTGCCTTGGCCAATATGTGCAACGTATTGTATTACATTAGTGTAGTCATTTGAACTGTTAGCATTATTTCATTATTTTGCACATAAAGGTAGTGAATAAATAGTTTTAGATAGAGCAAGACGGTGAAGTAAAAAATGAAGACTTCTCTTAGATTTAATAGCTATATTGTGTTTCTATCTCAAAAAATATTTGCCATAAATTCTAAAAAAATCAAAGGTCACAGAGACACAGAACAGTAAAAGTAATCCTCAGTGATGATTCTGCAGTGCTGTATCAGAGACATATATGAATAATAGATATTATAAGAGGGTCTGCCCTCCAGAAATGCGGTGACAGCACAGAGTGCAACACTAATACATTGATAATGACATTTTGATCCTGGCCATGCAGCTAATAAATAATGATTAGGAACTAAAGCGTGAAAGTAAAAGTCCCAGCAAACTTAAAATGTTATCAGCAATTGCGTATATTTCATGTCATGTATAGATCTAAAAATAATTTATACTATAGTGCATCTGCATTTTATTTGGAAACATCACCACAGAAAAACCGCTCAAATGTAAACACATTTTATTGTTCTACAGTTAATTTGGTAAACGATTTTGTTTACTTTGTTAGACAAAAATGCAAATGTGCATACTGAATTTAATAAATTTTCTTTGGCATGCATAAAAATTGCTTTGACAACACAGATGTGTGGAATGTACCACAACTACATTCATATTGACATTGACATACATTACAGGTACAACATAATCACATTCAATGTAAAGACAGTTCAGATATGGCATTCTTGCTGTTTATCTTATACAGGGCAAGCGGCTAGTGTGGGCCAGCACATTGTTTCTCTGGGTCTTAGCTCTGAAAGAGTTGTACATTTCCTAAAATACTAGTTCAACTTCCTTGATATAAGACCATAGCGGATAACATATCCGAATTGTATTACACAGCTCTATTTCTCATTAGTATCACAGATTTGCTTTGTAGTTGCACGTACTGTCAGACAGTGATTCTTTTATAGGACTGGACTGGCACAGTGAAGAATCACAGATGGTCACACAGGTACAATACAGGTGTTATATTGCCACATGGGTTCCTGGTAGGAGCACCAATGTCACACAAAGGACAATCCACTTACAGTTTCTAAAATATAACACACACAAGTGTTTGACAGTGCACTGATCTTTGACATCTTTTCTACATATATTTACTCTCTCATCCTGACACAGATGTACATCAAAGGCGACATTTTGTGAGACAATTTTCTATCATGTAGGGACGAGACAAGACCCCAGCGATCTAACCACGCAGGAAGTTATTTAGTGAGAATTAAAGTGCAAAATCAAAAGTTGGACAATCATCTGCTAGGCTACAGCAAATTCTGCCTCAGTTGAACTGGAGACCTTTTCAGGAAGAACACTTATTGATCGAAGGTTTTGAGGTGACTCGTCGCTCCATAACATTCAAGGAGTTTGAATTCCAGTGTCATTCAGATTTGGGTGGCTCAGTCATCTTAGCATGTCTGCTGTTGTACTTGGTCTAGGTATAGAGAAGGACACAGCTTCACATTCAGGACGGATCATTATGTGATCTTAGCGAGACATCATTCGAACAAACTCTGTGGAAAGAGAGGAGAGAGTACAATGACACAGTGTGAGGTAGCAATATACCGTAAATAAGTAGTAAGCAAAAGGCGAGGTTACCTTCAAAGTCAACAAGCCCGTCACCATTCAAGTCAACATCTCTCAGGATATCTTCAACTTCCTTTAGACCAACCTGGAAACAAGAGGTTAGCAGCTGTTAATGGAGAACCACCTAAAATGTTGTACATACTCTTTTATCTATTGACCACGTGGCCATTTTCCTGAGCTCGTGCTAAGGGTTGGAAGCTTGAATGCTGTTATAATGTTGTATTACATTCCAGGTTGTATGGAAGTTGTATTTATGGTATTTTAAAGTATTGTTAGTAATTTACCGCATCGTCATGGATCAGCAACAGTAAAGGCAATGAACGTTGCAAAATCTGGCCATTTCTCAAATTTCAAAAACACATTTGATAATCCATCATCTACAGTTCGACAGCAGTTTATGTGAGCATTCATCCACTTACTAGAAAATGTTACAAATAGCTAGAAAGTGGCTGAAAGCTATATTCACATTTGGTAATGACAAAGATACAGGAAAGTGATGTAAGCTTTATAGCAAATGCAATGTTTGCTAATGTTATCTTGTGCTGTGTCTGAAACAGCATACTTTTAAGACTATCAAACGGAGTATGTAGTATGTTCCGAATTCATAGCATGCAATTTTGTGTATGCGAGAAAACCCTGGATGTATACTGGCCGGGAGCTCAATTATTATAGTAAATCTCCCCACAGTCCATTGTAGCTCTATAGACCATCCAATCGTGTAGCTCAACAACCAGCTAAGAAGCTGCATACAAATAAAAAGTAACTGTACTGTACTGTAATTCTTTTTATAGTTGGTCAAATGACATTCAAATAACTAAGTAGGATGTATATTGTTGTTAAATGCTATATACAGCTCGACTGTCGTGCTGGCCTGGTGTTATCTTATTCAACAGAGTTTGGACCAGGAATACAGGATCATACAACTAATAGTGTGAAAGACAGTCGTAGTAAAATATTATAGTATATGAGCTTCTCCCTCTAAGCATGAGGTTAGAGGAAAACAATGCATATGAATCTATTGAAAAATAATCCAAATGTTACCTGTTGACCCAACAGCTTCCTCATTGCATCTCTTAGCTCAGCTGTGCTAATGGCTCCATCTCCATTTGTGTCAAACTGAGGACACAGAACAGAGCAACAACATAAAACAATGGAAAATTACAGTATATGGTATAAAGCTCACAACATGACCAGAGCAACAGTCTAAATATGAATCAAGAGCCTCTTACCTCTCTAAATGCATCCTTTAACTCTTTTATTCCAATCATGTCTGCAGTTTCAGCAAGAAGTTTTGGGCCCATCAACTCAACAAAATCCTCAAAATCAACATGACCTCCCACTTAAGAGACAAAAAAAAGCACATATTTTTTAAACTGAATAACCCACCTAGGACACAAGAACAGTTAATGCTTGACATTTGATATATAAATACATAAGGCATCTAAATGCTTACAGTTCATGTTTATCTGTTGACTCAGCTCGATGAGCTCCATCTCAGTGGGCATGTATCCCATAGTTCTCATACAGTTTCCAAGGTCTTTGCAGCTTATGAAACCGTCCTTGTCCTTGTCAAACTCCTTAAAAGCGTCCCGCAACTCTGTTAAGCAATATTAGAAGTATCATTAGTAACTGTATGGTTTTAAGTTTCTTTTCCTTTTTTGCAGTTTAATCTTATTTATTGTTTCTAAAGCACTATGACAAACATGTATTGTTAAATCATTGAAAAATACATTTAGTTAAATTCCAGTAAAAGAAGTGGGGAACCTACCATCCATTTCCTCTGGCCTCAGCTCTCTGTCCTATAAAGAAATAGCATTAATGAAAAAAAGCAGTAATCATAACATATGTCTCAACAAACACGCTCACAATGCCAACATACCCTTGACAGTGCTCTGGCTCTGATGATTCCCAAACCTAAACCAGCGATCCTCTCCATAGTGAGCCTTCTTACGAACCTCAACTTAACGAAGCCTAACAAAATAGATCCAAATAGAAGACTGAAACTATCTCACATTGATGACAAAAACTCCAAGTATAAATAGGCTGAATCCTATCAAGCATGGCTGGGAAACATAACCCCGGAGTTCACAGAAGAATGTGAAGGTTTCTATTTTTTCAGCTCTTGCTTACAATGAGCGCAACCTTTAAAGGGCAGAAAGAGAGGCAGACATATCCCAGAACCCTTAGGGGGTTAACAGCAGGAGCAGAAAGATGTCTAAACACAACAGTGAGTGTTGACGTCAGGCCAGAACAACTGTCTGACCAGAACTACTGACATTAGAACACAGGAGGGCACACGGACCAAAGAAAGCCGATCAAACATGTCACCTTCAGAACTTCAATGTGTCAATCAATCATCGTCAGTTCATTTACCATCTTCACTTCACTGACAGCTGCAGGCGTCATCACTTCACTTGTCTCACTGTGCAAACACCACCGTACGACCTCACATTGTTAAGGCCACTCACTCGTTTGCTGCAATTCACCTGCCATCCCCAGCGCAGGATAACTCCATACACTGTGCAGAGTAATAGGAACTTGTTATGAAAAGAACAGTTGACTTTTGGGAAGTATGCTGATTTGCTTTCTTTACAAGAGTTGGATGAAAGCATCCCCAGTCTCATGTTGGTAAGCGTCAGTCAGAAACCTAATCCATTAGCCTAGTTTAGCACAAAGAGTTGAAAGAGCTGGTCTAGCTCTTTCTGAAGGAAACAAAATTTCCATATCAGTGTCTATAAATACTCATAAATACAATTTTTCATATGAAAACAAGTCAGATTTGATGGCCTGCAGGACAAAACATCACACAGCCAATGAATATTCAAACAACCTACACCCTGTAAAATCACATCATGTTGTTTGGCACTCATTTTTTATTTAGACAAAAGCCTACAGTGAGGTAATTAAAAAAAGAAGATTTAACATGTTAGCGATGACAGATATTTATTGGCGCTGGCAGATGTAATCTCTTTCATTTGAACAGTAAAGGCCAGCACTTGATACTAAGCTTAGCGAACGGGCTGCTGGCTCCAGCCATATATTTACCAGTCAGGCCTGAGAGGGGCATCAATCTAACTAAGAGGTTGGAAACGACAGATCTAATGTGCAGAACAAATGTACGTGCTGTTGCTTTATTATTACACATTACAACTTTGCACAACCTCAAGAACACTCTAATGGTCATGTGCGAGCTCTCTGGTTCATTCTCCAAAACGTGTGTGTGTTCCCAACAGACAACTTAAAGTCAAAATAGTAAAAATATTAAGACAAAAAAATAATTGCTAGGGTCCCCACAAACTTGGGGAGATAGATGTTGTGGCATTGTGTATGGTAATGATAGACACTCAGTCCAGGTTAGCTACAAAGCTGATGTAAAAACAGACAGATGTGGAGACTTTGTCAAGACTTATGTACATGCTTGCATGTTGCCCTGACTTTACGCAGGTTTGCCACTGTATGTTGCACACGAGAATGCAGTTTTGTGTCATGGAAACAATGGACACCTGATAAAGCCAAAGCTACCCTGCCTGGCCCACCTCTTCACAGGCAAGCACCCCTCAGAACAACATCCTCTCTGTATCCTGGAGCATCTTCAGACAGCTGTAGAAACAGTTTTAGATACATGGAGCAGAGGTGAGTAAAAATAAGTAAAATGCTAGGAAAGTACTGCCTTTTACTGTAAAAGTATTGTGTGTGTGAGTGTTTATGTAAGTGTGTGGCAAACACAGCAGAAAAGTAAATGCAACAACAAAACAGCAGGTTGCCAACTTTCCACTCATCATTCACAACAGTTTACTTGCCACACTGAAGGGGCTGGCACCTCACACCTATACAGTGTCACAGTAACAGTAAACATACTCAGAAGCAGAAAAAGATGAGCTAAGCCACCGAAGAACAGGCTTTGTGTGAATGCACTTGAAGACATTATGCAACATCTTCCTTGGTGGAACACCCTGTACTTTAACAAAAAAATAGGTCCTGTTGCACACCAAGATCTGCCAATTTCTGACGCCTGTAATCTGACTTGTTGAACACAATAGGTTGCAGAGCCAACAACAGCGGTGCAAGTTTCAGAATAAGTTAAAATTTGTGAAGCAATTTCCATTGAACACCACCAGCATTTAATAGAACGGATGTTAAAACCCCTTTAAGTCCTGTAAAGTCATTTAATTATTTCAAATTTGCATCACAGATTCTGCTCTAATTATTTGTAAAGGCAAATCACACAAAAACTGAAAATTCGCCCATATATAAAACATCTCTCAAGATTTTTGTGACATGATTCCTGGCGTGGAATTTACATTACAATTTGTGGTTAAAATCCAAAACAAAAATCCTACCGTTCTCAGAGGCCAGTCCAAGCAGTTTCCCATACCAAAGGAGATAAAAGGCACCAAAAAAGACCATGAAGACCTTTTCTCTCTTAAGTTTGCCCGTTGGATTCTGAGAGGAGCGCACACTCGGGTTACAGATAGACCCATGAAGACCAGGATGCTAAACCTATCTGATATCGGAAGTAAATGAATGTGGTACTAGTAAGAGCATCAATGACACCCAGTAAGAAAAAGAGTGGTAAGGATGAGGTTGTGAAGCTAAATGAGAGGGGAAAGTGGGATATGGGCGGGAAACCAAATTATGCCTATTAAAGGAGAAGAGGGTGTTGAACTGCTTGTGATATATTTCACACAAGTGTCTCACTGACCAAACTGTTATGTTCACTCTGTAAACAACATAAACAATTCAACACGGACTGACACCCCGCAAAAATAAGAATAAACAAGAAACAGATTACGGATAAGGTGACAACTACAGTTAGGAAAATCTGCACCTGATGAGTCCCTGATATTTCAGGGTCACAAACATTTTGTGATTTTGTTTCCTCTTTCTCTGCTTTGAAAATCCCTACTAGGCAACTCTACAAGAACACTGTGTGATGACCTATTTCAAGTCCTCACCTGCAATCTCAAGCGTGACACTTATTCGTGGCCTATAGAGATTGCACTTTAACACATATGCCTCATTTTCAGCATATGTGTTTGCTTTCTTTACAACCCCCCACCCACTCCCAACACAGCCTCTTCTGCCCTCTGTAGGAAAAGACAAGGTCACTCTGACCTCCGGCAGCCACATGGCAACAGAGAATGACACATTTTATACTGTGATAGTGTAAACAATATAGTCACTGCAGTCTATTTGTAACACTGAATATTGTATCATATGAATCTGCAGAAAAAAGACCATCATGACTAGAATACAGATATAGCTAGTCAGGTAAGCACTCAAACAATCCACCTCCCCAGGTACCTGATCACCATCTGCTCACATGTATTCCCACTCTGGCTTGTCAAAACACTACATGAAGCCAGAGCTGCAAAAAAAATCAATTTGACTTTGAATGCATTTCTCCAACACAGTTTGCCAAAAGCAGAACATGAATCCTTGCAGCCATGTGTTCCATTTTTGCCCGTCATTACACTCCTCTCCATCCAGCTTGCTCATCAAAGACCTCTTTCAGGTCACGCTAATGTTTTCACAGAGCAGCTCGCACACTGACTCACAGGTTATTCGTGGACCGGGCTTTTATACTATAAGTACTAGAAGATTTTTCCCTTGGAGCCACAACGGAAGATCTCCATGTTCCAATACTGAGCCTATTTAGAGCTCAGAGTTTCCTATTTCAGCAGCAGACATGAATTGCTTCCTGATCCCTAATCAGAATGAAGCAGCCTAAATGATGAGAACTATTAGTCTGATTTCTGAGGAAGAGACTAAAAAAAATGCCACTGATAGACAACTAAATAAAAAGATGGTATGCTGGCAGATGAAACTGCATGATTGAACAGACTTCTATGCAGAATCACATCACTTTCAGCATTCAAGAGTATTAACCTGAGCTCTTTTTCTTTTGTGTAATTATATTTAAGGCTCAAAAATAGAAACTCAATCACAACAGGAGCATCAAAGTAATTCCCCTCAAACGCAGCACAACAATCACTGCAGTGTTCCTGATTGGATGCTACAGAGGATCACATATTATTGTCTTTGACTGTGTGATTAGCACCTCAGAGATTTCCACCTCTCTGCGGCAGAACATTTCATCTGCCCTGGCACATCCACTTCAGTGAGACAGAACTGCTGATTGAGGAGGTGGTGCTGGATTTAAAAATTACATAAGGAGTGGATGTGTAGAGGAAGCTTCTCCCTCTATAGTCTGTGCAGAAATGACAGTGTTTACAGGCTGCATCACAGAGCACATTAGCGTATTGATTGTAAACAAGACGTCAGTGGAGCCAGAAAGCACAGTTAACCACTTCATATCTGCATGTTTGTAGAAATAAGAAAGCAATATATATTTTTTAAATGTTTTGGTTAAGTTTACAGGAACTTATGTAGTGTCATATCATCCATTTACATTGGATGGTAAAGCACACTTCTTTGGCTGTTGTTAGTCAACTCCAATTAAGTTAAATGTAATTAGAAATTTGGGTTTTGGTTGTTCTTGTCAGGAGGGGCAAATTAGTCAAGACATTTGCCAAATAACAACAAACAGTAAAGATGTAAATGTGATCTAATTAAAACCAAAAGACTATATGTTTACTACACTGAGTGTTTCAGGGCCTTACCTGCCCAAACAGTGAATTGAGGATGGTGCGTAAGTTGATCTCGGATGCAGAGGAAGCAGCGCTGGACCTCCTGGACCGCCGGGAGGACCTGCTGGACAGTGGGACGAGGGAGCAGGAGGACGGGGAAGGACTGCTGACCTGACCCCCTCCATTGGCCCCTTTTTGGTCCTTCGGCTCACAGAGAGGAGCCCTGTCGTCGGTGCTGTCCGAAACAGAGGGCAAGCTGGGGACCGGGCGGCTGTGCGTGTGGGAGCGACGGGGATGCTCAGATTCAGGTGGTCCGGCTCCTGCCGCCGGCGGACGGTCCTCCCGGTGGTGCTTCCTGCGGTGGTGGTGCCGATGCGTGGACTTGGATGACCTGCAGTGCTCCCTCACACCTCGGTCCGCCTCGCCGTTTGGCTCCGGTGGGTCGGAAACTTGGCTGTGAGGGGCGTGTGACTTACACTTGCCACGCGTGGCTGCATTGTTACTACTGTCCTGGCTGCCGACGAGGGACGGGTGGCATAGGGGTCTCCGGGCGCTGACGTCGCACTCGGCCGACCAGAAGGACTCCTCGGCTTTGCTGCTGCTGCTCTGGACTGCGGCGGGACGGTGGTGATGCTGGTGCTGATGCTGATGGTGATGCTGACTTCTCCGGCTCTCTGCGGTGCGTTCAGGGAGGTGTGTTGGTCTCCTCGCCGCCGAGGACGTCGATTTCAGTAAGGAGGTCGTGGATTCAGATTTCGGAAAGGAAGAGCTCATCGCTGCGGATCTGGTCTAGTCTGCGTCGGTGCGTTTATCGTCGACACCAGACACCGTTTCCTCTCCATTGTCGTCCCATATTAGCATTTAGCAGAGCCTGGCTGCCGCGGTAAGTTAGGCTACATTTCACCACCTGATTGCTGTGCGGCAGCGCGGCAGGAGCGCGCGCGGACAGCGGAACACTGCGGAGCGCGTCACCTTTCATTGATGTGAGTGATGCGAGTGCTTTGCTCTGGCATCGTGGCAGTGACGTGTGGATGTTTACAGTAGTATGTCTTTGTGGACGACAAAACTTTTCCACCACAAACATTGACAGCTTAGATAATTATTACATTAGTCCCACATTGATGCAACTATGTTACCACTAAGGCATAATAAAGAAATCTAATCAACTGTCCATGCAAAAGTTATTTACAAAATATATCCATAAAATCAATTGATCTAATAGGCTACGGTGTGCCGCTTTTTTCATCCTATAGTTAAAAAAAAATACTACTGACACAGTACTACCAATTTACAGATTAACCTGCATGGGGCCCCTGGTCAAAATGACTCACTGTCTCACCACACACGTTCCTTTAATCCATCTTGCCAAGAGTCGAAAAGGCAAAACATCCATTAATCCTAGCCTGAAATCATGCAACAGGTTGGCTATAAGCCTTCTTTTTTTGTGTGTGTGATGGGACTGTATGAATTCATTGCAGGTTTGAGGCTCGATGCTTGTCCGATGGTTGGCTGTGCTCTGATTAATCATATTTGAAAACAACATTAAGGTAATAAAACAACAATTCACAGGTATTTGTGGTGTCTTTCCTCAATGTTCATTTTCTGGTCGCTCTGCTCAACTGTTATTTTCTTTTCAGTTTCACTGTCTGGGACTCACGTTGCACCTCAGTAGCTACACCTAGAGGTCCCTGGAGTCCACTGCAGCTCCTCATCCCACTGGTTTAAAAAAAGAGACTCATTTTGTTACATGTTGGCATCCATGTGTCTGTGTTATTATGTAAGATTATATGAGTTGGTGATGCAAATGCATACTGCTAAAAGGATATCCTTAGTCGGCTACATATGTAAAACTGCATGATCTCAAACTGTTTACCTCCCACAGTGCTGCAGTATTCTGCTCTCCCTCAACAGTTAAGACTACTGTGATAACTCAGCAGCTGTGACACTGGAAAAAAACACTTCTGGGCCCATAAAACAAGCAGCTTATAAATACAAGTACCAAAGTACCAACCTATTTAGAAACATTGCACTGAAATGTGATCAGAAGAGGCAGACATTGACTTGAGTTTTCTTCCAGTACGGATACATATATGGGGCCAAATATTTACCTGTATGTGTGAAACAATAAACACAACACCTGTGGGTGGTGGAGACAATAATGTTTTTAATATGATGTTGGTATAACCTATAAGCATTTAGTGCCTCTAGCTTCGTCTCCTCCAGAGCCTCTGCAAGTCTAACAATAAATTGTGTTGAGAAAACATTGCATGCCTACGCCTCCATGTGACCCTACTATAAAACTGCATCTGGCTGGAAATAGGAAACATGATCTATTTAGTCCTCGAGTTTTATTCTCAGTAAAGAATCAATATCAGAGTGGCATTTCTGTAGGATGCTCCCTATATACCGCTGAGGTGTTCAGCTCCTGCAGCATGTTTTTATCACTGTTTAGTGTAGTGGCTGCGTGCGTGAGCAGTTTAATTAATGAAATGGTCGACTCAGCAGAATGTACTAGAGAGCATTCATGCAGCGTGCAGTGTTTACTTCAGATCGGTGTTATTGGTGTGAAAGTGACACTTCTGACAACAGCTGATTAAATAAGATACTAGTCCATTTATTAAATGTACAGAAATACTGTTCAAAATCCACACAAGAATGTGTTAAAGGACAAATCTTCATTCAAATGTAAACAAAATGGTTGCTCCACAATGTACTGTGTATGTAAAGCAAATGCTTTGGGGAATGATTCATTCTCTTTTTAACAGCACTCTTGATTTTAAACCTAATTAAAGACAGCTCAATGTGAGTGTCGCTCTCATCCCATGTTGTAAACAGCTTGTAAATAATCATACTTTTGTAAACATTGGAATCGAATGGACTGGTATTCTGATTTGCGATGGATGGACCTGTAAAGCTGCTGAAGATTAATTTGCATTACCTTTTACACTGTGCGATGTGTGGCGCTGCCAAATGAAAAGGAAACACATCACAGAACAACAAAGAGAGAGTATTCATAAACATTTTACAGAATCTACAAATTGTAATCTATCAAAATGAGTTCATGGTTGGCTTTTTCAGAAATGCACTTGCTTTAGCTGCAAATCAACACTACACAATAGATATAGCATTGAAGACAATCACCTCAAACACATCCCACACCGTTCCGTTTGTTTTCAATCTTGACCCTATTTACAGAAATACAAACCGGATATCAAATGCAACCAAATTACAAGAGTTTAGTAAATTTACCAAAAACACTTCATCCCCAGCATTACAGCACAGGCCGACTTACACGATTTGACCTAAAAATGTGCTTTTCTAACCATGTCTCATGAAACCAGGATCGATTTTTTTGAAAGAGGAGCACAACAAACCACCACACCAGCAGGAGTCAGAACAGAGATATTAGCTGCGTCTGTAAACATTCATGTTATGATCAACATTGGACCTCAGTTATCAAATCACACATGGATCCATCTGTTTAGTCGTCTCTATAACATTCACAGAGAAAAGTAATCATTTCTGTAGTTTGTGTCATCACGCTGCTGTATCATCCTGTGCAATGTTTTAGTGAGGAATCTAGTAGAAGTCGCCTTTTTAATAGTAAAGTCCAAACTGTGCATCATGCAGGTAACTCAGCTAAAATGATGAGTACAGAATGATACTGAATGTGTTTCTCAGTAATGAGACTGTACCAATAAAGACGTGTGCAACTACTGCATGTTCTTGTAATCTGGCTTCACTGTGTGTTGCCTTTAAACAGCAGGTCTTGTAGCTTTAGGTTAGCCCTCTTTCCATGTAGATAAGAAATGTAATCCCTAAAATATTTGTCAAGGTTTTGCATGAAGAAAGACTTTTATTTGCACACACTCATAAATATTCAATCACAGTCCCACATTTGAAAATGGGAGTTGTACTTTTTTTTTTTTTCAAAATAATAAAATGTGCAAGAACACTGATAATCTTGCAAAACGTGGCACATTTCTGACTGGATATGATGTGTAGTGGGGAGAATGATCAGATTACTTAGCCCTTGCAGAAATGTATGGAGGCGGTTACAGTAAGTGCAAAAGAATTAATGATACTTGTAAGATGTTAAGCGTAAACTAATACCACCCACACCTTGTAAAATCTTATTTGTAACCTTATGTCTGGGAGAGGAGACATACTACATACATGCTACCTACATGAGTCCGGTTCATGTATAGCTGTTGGCGAAACTCGTTGCCATTTGACATATTTATAACATAATAGGCTCTCTATCAGCAAACTGTTTGATTTTTTACAAACGCAAATTAGCTCTGAAAGTTAAAATGATTTTCATTATTTATTAAGCAACTATAATTAAACAAACCATAATTAAGTCGACAAAGATGTTTTTTTAATGGTCATCACATTTTCCAGAGCCTAGGTGTTGTCTTTAAATTTTTAGTTTTGTCAACCAATCAATTCAAAACCAAAAGTTGGTGCACAACTTATTAATTATCTAGAGATTTGGGGTTTAATTTGGAAAGATCAACCGAGGAATCGAGAAATCTTTAGAGCTCTGATGCAAGTTTGTTGGAAATAAAATGATTAAAAATAAATTACACCGACATTTAGGCTGAAATGTCAAAGCCACAATGTAAATATACATCAGTCAAATGGCTGAATGAATATTCATGTACCTGATGATTTGGAGTTTTCAGGTGAGGCGGTCTTTCACACAGCTATGCTGACAAAAACATGATTGATAACAGAGGGCCAATGTTCGGTCATTAGCTATAAGAGTTAGGTGAGATATTGTATGAGACGGAGAATATGTACACAGTGAATATGAGAGCTGGTCTGGAGGCAGAAAAAGAGTTGCTCCCCAATCCTACAAACCCATCCCTATATTCCATCTGTCTTTTTTTGTCGGACATGGTTTTTCACTCACACCTATTTCCCTTCTTTGTCCTCTAAGCGGCCCGGGGTAAAAATGTAATCCAAGGCTTGTCTCTCAGCTGCGGCCACGTTAGGGTGCCAGAGGTCCACCATGAAGACCACTCTGGTGCCGTCCTCTGCACCACCTGCACAAAAACACAGGAAAAACAGCAACATTAGAACAAAATAACTCCATTTGATAAAAATGTTAACCTGAAATCTGGATCAGCCTCACATTAGAAAGACTCTGTTTTTCTTAGCGATGCTGAATTAGACCTTTTTCAGGTCAATCCTCCTTCAAGGAATAAATAATAAGAGGCAGAGTGAAACAAAGGATTACACTTTAATCCCTTCTTACCCTCGTGGAAGGCCCTGTGGAGGAAGGAGTCATCGAAAAGCAGACAGCTGCCCTCAGACCAGCACTGTGGCTCCCCACCAACCACAAGCTCACAGGAAGGGGGCACTCTGAGACCTGCCAGAGACACACAAGTCCATCCATGTGTTATTATGGGAAATTAATGCATTTTGAAGCAGTTATGGTTGCTTAGCAACCTCCCAGGTAAAAAAATATCTGACTAAGACCTGCTCTCAAAATGTCCTGCAACCACAGTATGCCTTTTCAAAGCTTCTAACAAAACATCCTGCATGCACAACAATTACAATCTCTATCTCTGTCACACAGGGCACAGCTGGAATTAGAGTCAATGCTAAGGTGATGTAAAACCCAATAAAAATCTTGAAATAAGCCACTAAATTGAATCTACGTTGTATCATGATCCAAGAGGATTCACATTCTCAGTCTACACACGACAGCAGCTGATCACCGGAGCTGCTCCGCTCTGGTTAAATATGCTTATTACAGTAATCATCTGCTGTGGTGCCAAGCTGAATACACTCACAGCCATCAGACATCACATGGTTGAATCAGTTTCAGCTCACTAAACAGTTCACTCTCTTACCCAGGTGGCAGCGCAGCCTGACATTTGTTGGGCCGTAATGCTCGGAGATGAGAGCACCGGGCGTCAGCACAGAGAAGCAGGCGTTTCCGAACACATTATTGGCGATGAAGGTACGCAGTTGGCCCAGCACTCTCCAGGCACGGGGACACCTCCTCACATTGAGAACCATAGGGGTGCCTTGGTTGACCAGGTAGTATGTCCACCACTGCCCACGAGGGGTGCTGTTGGCTTTCCAACCCGGGGGGAGGCAGGAGCCGCTGCGGGCTGGAGGCTGGTGGTAGATGCTCTCGAACTCTGCCAGGAGTGCGGGGAAGCTCTGCTCCAGCAGCTCCACATCGTGCCTCTGGATCTCTCTAGAGAAGAAAGGGGCTGATGGAAGATCTGGGAGGAAGAAGACCTCTGGCCGCTGGATGGTGGGTCGGCTGTTCAGGTATCTGCCTTGATCTCGTACTCCTTTATGCACCCTGCCCATACCTGACCAGGTGTAGCGCTTGGCGTATTCCTGCAGGCTGTGATAGAGCCTCTGGTTCAGACTCTCTCCGGCGCTGGTGCAACGGAAGCACTCTGAAGACTGACAGAAAGCGAAGCCATTCTGCTCTTCTAGCAACAATCCATGTTTCCCTTTGCCCCTTCCTTTGCAGTCTGAACTCATAAAGCCCCCCACCACCCCTCCAATCCGGCCGGGCCCAGTCAGATACCTCCCACGCAGAGGGCTGGACCCGTGCTCCCGGCCCACCCTGTAACAATACCACATAAAGAGCAGCAGCACACACATGGCAATGGCGAAAGCACAGATCTCACACTCCCTTATAGACTGCATCCCTCCTGCCACCATCTCCCTCACATTTTCTAGTGACCACTCCATCTCTGCTCACTGCAGGAGTGCTGAATCTGACAGAAAAAGAGAAAAGTGCTGATGAGAGATCAGTTAATGCGTCTTTTCTCGATCGTGATTGAAAGGGGCCTTAAACCACACGCAGGGCGTTAGGGAGTCTGGTGTCAGGCAGCTCTTATCGCCTCCCCTAATGTAAACAGTTTGCTGATTTGATCTGACACTCTTGCTCTTCTGTGCTAACATTTCAGCACTCTGCAGCGAGGGAAGGTTTCTCCCTGCATGATGTCTGGTTGTGCGGTATTTGTGCTGCTCCTTCTGTTGCTCTTTTAGACAAATGCAGACAGTCACCGCGCCTTAGGGTGATCTGTTCGCTGAAAAACAAAAGACAGAAGGAGAGAAAGAGGTATCAGAAGAGACAACACACTGTACATCACATTAAAGGGATGCTGCAATTTAATGCCCTATTTACGGACGAGTGTTGATTTCCACAGTTAATCTGAAGCACATATCAGTGTCACAAATGTGTGTCTGTTAAACAAATCCTCCTCGGAAATAGACAGAATTTTATTATCCAGTATGCACCTCATGTAATACACACCTGCTTGAACTCACCCACACACTGTCAACTTCAAAATGACTACTACCAGTGTACGCACGCACACACACACACACACACACACACACACACACACACACACACACACACACACACACACACACACACACACACACACACACACACACACACACACACACACACACACACACACACACACACACACACACACACACACACACACACACACACACACACACACACACACACACACACACACACACACACCCCATGAGTCATGCATTTAACCAAAATCTCTCCCTTTTGTATTTTGCGCAGCACGCACACTAAGCAGAATTATGTAAACTTAAACAGTGTTGATGCCCACCCACATTTATAATTGGCATTCATAGGTTGCTCAGCGGGAGCTGCATAAATGGTTCCTGGGGGGGGGGAGGGGGCGAGCTATACTCTGTGTAACCGTATGCTGTAAGACAAAAAAGGCTCGCTTACATGAGTATGATTATATAAATATAATGGACCAGACACCAAAACGCGGGGAGTGCAATGCGTCAACTGTGATCAGAACTCCACGATGCTCTCCCACCAAACATGGTCGGGCAATTCTGCTCCCATAGATCCTCCCCTATATCCTGTCTAACAGCAACAAGACGCTCCCACCTCCCCCGCACACTCCCGCTGCTTTTAGGAAAGACTGACCATCAAACCCAACCATTAAACCACCTCGAAACCTTCATCACTCCTCCGAATGCTCCTCTGGTTCATTGTCGAGCTGCTGCCACCAAGGCCGAAACCAACTGATGGCAAACACATTGATGAGCTGTAACGTTCAATGAGACATTGTTAACAAAGCAGATCGCAGTGTCATACCTCTTGTTTCCTAGACTAGAGCTACGTGGATGTTTGGTGCGTGGGCTCGTGCGCAGGTTTGAAATCCATACCTATTCAACATTCATGACTGTGTGGCCAGTGGAGAGGAGAGGCGCACAGGTGTTTCTCCAGGCGAAGCTGCGCACCACTGCAGTGCACACGGTAGACGGATATCACTCGCCAACATTGTAAGAAATATCCCCAAATGCTTCAAAGAAGTCCGAACTGGAAGCGACGCGCGCCGTAAACAGAAAACACATATTAAAAGCGTCTAGGCGAAGGGTCGACTCCCTGTCTGTCCGTGATGGACAGCAGCGTCGGGCAGGCTTCTGATAATGTTGTTGTAAATACTAAAGCTCCACCAGGGAAGCCACCCAGCGTCAAGCACTCAGAGGAATACGCAACAATACGCCGGCCAGACCTTCCAAAATAAAGGACTTGGTGTGCTGAATACGGCAAACAGCCCTGGGCTGTCACAACCCCTCCCACCTCCATGCAGGGGCGCGTCCTGCCTTTGTTTTGACTTGGGTGGCCAAATTTAAAATTTTAAGTAAAAAGAATGACAAGATATTTATCTTGTGTGATTTGTGTAATTCTTTAAGGACTAAAAAAGATGTATGTATGAGTCAGACGTAAAAGTAGACTAAAAAGTGGCACGCTAACTCCTGCACAATATCTAACATGCAAAGATACATTTATTTTCTTGTTGTGCTTTTGCACTTGTATCCTACAGTGAATCACTCTGGGGTGTCTTTATGGGTACAAATTATGCTACATGAATATATTTACTTTGCCATACCTTATAACTTGTGATTCATTTGATCACCAAGGATGAAAAAAATTAAAGATTTCATGGCTTTCAAACGTGCTCATTTCAAGAAAAATGAAAAACAAAAACAAGAAACATAACGATCTTTATATTTTTTTCAAGCTTTTGCAAGATGGTCACAATCCTCAGATTTTTGGATGCTCTTTGGATTAATTGATACTTACCAGTCAACCTACAGACCAAAAAACATACCATAAGCCTACCGTTTTCACAAGTTGTTAATGATTCATTAATTTTCCAGCAAAAATAACGAGACAAAAATAAAATGTAATTTTCTGCTGCCAATCACTAAAATAAAAAGATTTGGTGTTTTTCATTTAAGTCATTTAAGTTAATGAACTGACTTCCTTTAGATTGTGACTTTTGTTGGGTGTACATAACACAAAGAAGTGTTCAATCCATCCAACTCTTGTTAATAGGCTACATCAAGAGCTCTTCTATTTTCTGACAGTTAAAGTGATTAATCAATTGATTGAGATACTATGGGGAATTTTAGAAGCACATAATTGGTAGTTGCAGCACTGCTTTTTAAATACATTCTCTTTTGAAATTAAAAACGATAAAAAAAAAACGTTTTTATTTTGAAGGCACAATGATCTTACATCCGGTATTGATTGATAATTTCTGCCTGACTTGACTCGAATGAGAGCCTTATACTCTTCCGTATGATTTATGACTCGTCCATCGACTTCTGTTCGATATGCAGCTGCAGACAGCATTTCCCAGGATGCACTGCGTCTTGCTCAAGTTGCTCTCACATGAGCCATGAGAGCAGGAGTTTGATGGTGATAGTTCAAGACGCGAAAAGACAGCAGGGTCAAAAACTTTGTCCCGGAAAACAGATCGAGATCGAACTCCTCGGCCTTAAAATCTGCACCTTTGACTTAACCTGGCGAGAAAAAAAAAACTCATAAAAGAAGTTCAGCAACATCGTTCATCAAAACCAGACTGTTAACTTCAATGCGCTGAAAGATGTGGGGTTCTGATAATAATCGATCTTACAAGTCCTGACTGGTTTGATCTGCTTTGAATTCATTTAATAGGCGACCTCAGAGTTAATCCAGGCTATAGATTTTGTAACACTTTAGCTGTACAGAAAACTTACAAACTGTAGGCATGTTGTTGTTATCCTATGAGGTTTCATGGCTGGATGCATGTGGTTATTATCAAAAAAACCTTAAGTGTATGGCACGTTTTCAGAAACAATGTTTAAAAACAACAACAACAACCAAAAATGATACTAGAGGTATTCAATCACACTTAAGCACACATCAACAGTCCATCAAAGTTAACAATAAATAAACAATAAAGCTGGTTAAAAATATAGCAGGCTAAAAAAACATAATCTCTTCTTAATATAATTAAATAGCCTATAGCCTAAATTAGAGAAATTAATAATACAGCGATTTAAACAAAAGCCTATTTATAAAAGTGAATGTATTGAGAGTTGATTTAAAGATTAAACAGATTGTGTTGGTCTTATTTTCTGTACAGGCTGTTCCATAGGTCAGACACAACAGAGACACAGTCACTGAGGAACAAATTCAAACAACCTTCTTGGATCTTGTTAAGCAATAAAGCTGGGGGAAAGACCTTTCTGTGCCATTTAATGTGAAATAATGTTTCATGTGTCATATATTCTATTATACGTAACATATACTCACACAATGATAGGCCTACTTGTTTTCACAATATGTAGCCTACTGTAGTTATTTACAGACTTAGTTTTGCTTGCTCCATGGATAGCCACTGGTCTTGATATCCTGGTGTGTAATGTTAGTACAACTGGAATAAACAATAATCAGTCTCATCAAGCAGTGTGTGTGTGTGTGTGTGTGTGTGTGTGTGTGTGTGTGTGTGTGTGTGTGTGTGTGTGTGTGTGTGTGTGTGTGTGCAAAAAAGGATTGTACTTTCAATCAATTCTTAATTGTATAAGCAGTCTGTGCAGGATGTGTAGGGATGATATAGTCTCTGTGTTAGGCACATGAAGAAATGCAATAGCCTATAATTAGATGTCATAAAACTCAATTTGGCACACATAATCTTCTCACATCTGAAACTATTATGTTTTGTAAAAAGACCAAATTCCTTCAGCCAGGTAACCCTAATAATTAATAAATATTGATGTGTTTTTTTTTTTTTTTAATTAATCTGGCTGCACTGTTTGCTTCTTTGTGTTCTTTGCACGTGTAGCTGTAAAGTTCCTCATTTGCACACAAAGCCTGCTGTCTGTTTCCTGGCTGAGTGGGTGCCACATAAACCGGTCTGTTTCTCTGAGATCAAACCACCTCCGGCATGATTTAACGAAATCACTTACATCACCTTTCCTCCCCCTATCTCCGGGTAGAGGGAGGGGCCACTCTGCCTATTTCCAACGCCCCTCTGATCGGGCAACATCAGAGGGAAGGTGACGTGTTTACTTCAAAACTTATCTTTAATGGTCACCACGGAGATTTTGGATATTATCAGTTATGGCGAGGTCAAAGGCGAGGGTGTACGGGTGCTGCACATTGATGCTGCTCTGTGTGGTTACTGCCATTGTGTTAATTGCTGTTCTTGGGAGGCACACTTGTCCAGATGACACTTTTTCCAAAGCTGCAGTGGCTGCAGACTCCAAGAAATGTTCAGAGATTGGAAGGTGAGTTGTTGTTTATTGTATGAGACTGTTTTGTGATTGAGAGGATCTGGTAATGTGGGTAAGCTCCTCGCTCTTTCTTTAATGCGACACAACATTCTGACAAGTTCCCATGAACCAACTTATTAAGATCTGCCAACTAGTCCATGGTAACTACTGACCAACTTTTATAGCGTGATTAGTTGACAAAAGTCTGTTAGATTGTTAACATCTTAATGTTTAAGATCATAAATTAGGGCTAGTTAGTAGGAAGTGTTAAGTCACTGGAGAACAGAATGGGAGATCTCATATTAATGTATCATTTGGTTATTATGTCTTTATGAATATCTGTTAATCGATCATAAAGAACGCTTTCTTACTATATTTTCTTCTTATACATTCTGAGCCAGCAAGTAACCGACGTAAAACTAATAAAAGCAACGTGATAAAATCATCATTAACAAGAAAAACACTGAATACCTGCCTATATTTTTGATTTATAACATAGACATACATTTCCAGGAGTATTATTTTTGTGTGTATTAATGAGTTACTTAACATGAGTACTTAACATCAGCTTATGGAAAACACAGACATTTACCTGCAAACAGCATAAAAAACAACCTAACGTGGATAATAATCAGCGTGTAATCTCACAGGGACATCCTTCAAAAAGGAGGCTCAGCGGTAGATGGCGCCATTGCTGCGCTGCTGTGCACCTCCGTCATGAACCCCCAGAGCATGGGCATCGGAGGGGGGTCCATATTCACAGTGATGGACAGCTCTGGTATAAGAACAGCATTCACTCATAAACACTCTAATGCAGCAGGAGTAACGATGGTCTTGCTGGGGAGACACTTTGAACTGACGAAATCTCTCTCCTCTTTTCACAGGTAACGTGAAAACTATCAACTCCAGAGAGACTGTACCTCAGACCTTTAACACTGACCTGCTCAAATCATGTCCCAAGACCTTTCGAATGATGACAGGTACTTCTCTGGTGTATTAAATATTCAAATAGGCCTACCTGCATTACTTCAAGTCAGCTTCTTTTTTTGTTTACACCGTAATGTAAGACAAATGATGTCAGGTGTGGGGTTAAAGAGACTCCCAGTCCTTTCTTAGACATGATTATGTAGTCGTTTACTATCTGTCTTGCTTCTCTGTGTATTCACACCGGTGCCCCAAAAGGCCTGATGTATGGAAGCTGTCCCAGATTTCAGCCAAGACCACACACGCTCTGGGAACAGAAGTCGTACACACGCTATTAATCTTGTTGGGACATGAACTTGTAAGCCTTTGATGCAGACAAGGGAGTTTAAGCTTTAACTTAAAGTGAGGACATTATCAGAGAGAGAAAACATTGTTTTTTATAAAATATCAGTCAGATTAAAGAAATACAAATCTTAAAAAACAATATTGTTCTCAAAGTTATTGGCACTAAAGAAAGTTCACCAATATGTTTCAGTTCAATTTAAATGTAGTTTGTTTGTTATCTATCTGATCATCCTGTCAGGCAGAGCAGCAGAGATATTACCACATAGATTTTGGAGATTTAGTTGATTATTCTTTTGAATAAGTCTGGAACAACTTCTGAGAGGGAGAGAGCGCTCATGTGGATGATCAATAGTGAGGGAGTGTGTCATTGTGCACAAAGGTGGTCTAAGGTCTAATCTAATGTAACTCAGTTTACCAGTAAAGTGTGTCAAGTGTTTGAACAACACTGACTCTCTGTTAACAGGCTAATGCTGCTCCAACGTGCATTTAGTGTGCGTTTAGTTCCTGTCACAACAGGAATGTTGTTATGACTTCTCTCAGTGTCCCTGCTTTATGGTAAAGACTGGTATTTGATCACTGCACTATAGTGCTATGAAGCTGTTTTGGAAATCTAAAAGGTTTGAGGCCACTAATTAACCCTGTAAAAGTACATTATATTAATATTATTTGTTCTTGAATGCAAATAATTACAGTATCTGTGAATTATCTTAAAATAACTACAACTATTAGCTATAATCTTGAAGCCTTTGGCTCGATATTAAAAGACAAAAACGTGAGACAATTGGACAGAACCTGGATTCCTGAATTGTAATCCATGATCACGACTCTGCACTTTATATGTAAACCAATTTGCACTTTGTAATTGAAGTTTTCTCTCAACTTACTGTTTGTAAACTGTCTCGTTATCATGTAATGTTTACTATGACGTGTGCTGCTGCCCTCTTGGCCAGGTCACCCTTGTGAAAGAGATCTTGATCTCAATGGGTTAATTACCTGGTTAAATAATGGTTAGATAAAATGATATGATAATTACAGTTTAGATAAAAAGTGGCATATTTTGGAAATAATCAATCACACGCCTAAGAATTGTACTTTGCTGCTGTTTTTGTGTAATAAATGTACTTATTTTGACCTACCTGCATATTAATCCATTCATTCCTCCAGGTTCTGAGTGGATCGGGGTTCCGGGAGAACTTCGTGGTTATGAAATGGCGCACAAGATTTATGGGAAGTTGCCGTGGGCAACACTTTTTGAGCCGACCATCCAGCTGGCCAAAAAAGGGTTTCCTATCCCACCAATCCAAGGTCGATACCTTTCATATTTAGATACCAATGCGTCCCAGTCACTACGGTACGAAAGACACACACCATAAAAAAAAAGACTGAACATTTTTACCTTTCTAAATGTAAGTGTCATTTTTCGACTTTGTTTTTGAACTTTAGGGAGTTGTTTTCAGATAAGAACGGGAAGTTGCTGCAGACTGGTGATAATATAAAGTTTGAGAAACTGGCCGACACTTTGGAGGTCATTGCAAATCACGGGGCGGACGCTTTTTACAATGGAAGCATAGCAGAGGAATTAATCCAAGACATACAGGAGGCAGGTATTGTCAGATGGGATTTATTCATAAAGCTCTCTTTTCAACCATTTTCTATCTCTGCCTGGCTCTATGATCTAATTACAAAAGAACAAATCAATTGGATCTGTGAAGCGCTGCAGTGATCACTCACAGACCGTGAGCTGCCGGGACGCATTGAAAGTCTCCATTATGTGGAGCTGAGATGCGTCTCGTTCAGTTTTGCTCAGCAGAATCATTTGTTTCAATGTTTTTGCTCAGGAGGAACACTCACGATGCAGGACTTGGCAGCGTACAGAGTTTCAGTGACGGATGCGTGGGCTGTTCCTTTGGGAGAGTACCAGATGTACATCCCCCCACCCCCTGCAGGAGGCATCATCCTTAGTCTCATCCTCAACATCATGAAAGGTTTCTGCGGATCTGCTCCTCCACAAGTTCGCATCGCTTAAAGAAGCTTGTTAAGATGAATTCATGTGCTGAACAGAGCCGTGCCAAACTTATACTGTCAGAGGCTGTTGCACTATGTTGTTGACTCTAAGTGTCAGTTCCATGCTAGGGGAGTGTGCACTGTACATGATTGGATGTGAGATACACTTGGAGTTTAAACTATTAAAACTAAGCAATTCTGTTATACTTTTAGGTTATGGCTTGACTTCAGCATCTCTGACAGGTGGAAAGACACTGGCCTATCATCGCTATATTGAAGCCTTTAAGTTTGCCAATGGAATAAAGAATCACATCAAGGATCCACAGTTCAGCTCAGCAGAAGTAAGTTCCACTAAATGACTCTGTGACAGATACATTGTTCACACATTGATACAAATCTCAGCATTATGCAAGAACCAGGGGAGGAAAAAGGTTTTTACATTCTTAATGTAAGAGAAATTAGCTGTGCTGTAATCTAAAAAGTTAAAATCCTGCTTTCTATGTTAACTTAAGCTTCAGATGTTTTAAGTGTTATGTGAGTGTGATGCAGAATGGCTACTTTCAACTGCTTATTTTACTGTCTGGAGGTTTCATCTGAAACAAATGCATTTAATTGCAATTAGTTTGGATGGTATGTTTTGTAAGAAAAAATCTGAGAAGAAACTACTTTCCAATTCCCTCAAGGAAATAAAAGGAGAAGAAAAGTATAGATTTGACCATTGACATAGAGTGGAATATGAGTATAAAGTTGCTCGAAATGGAAAAACTTAAAGGAAGTACTGGTACCTTAAAGTTGTACTCGTGCACAATACTTAAGTAAACATTCTTATTTGATTACAACCATGCTATGAAAACTGAAAAGTACGGTAATGCACTCTGCTTTAACACTAGAAAGACCAAGGCAGTCATTTTGACTGTTTTTTGATTTTGCAAATGTAATAACTTACTTAAAATAAAACCTATGTAACTGCAGGACCATGACTTTTCCTAAATGTGTCTATATTTTATTCTAGCATTGTTATTTTACCAAAAACACAAAACACAAAATAGTTTTGAGTATTTCTACCTTGAAAGTCCATAGCGGTCATATTGACTGCATATGTTATAGCCAGTGAATCATTTCAGTATTTAGTACTTTTTCCCACTCTTGAAGGTAGAGGTGGGCGATATGGTAAAAATATCATATCACGATTTTTTTTGGCAAAATCACGTTCACGATTTTATCACGATGTTTTTCATACTGTTTAGACAAATTTGTAAGTTGCTGACCAGTTCAACCAAACTTATTAATGTTTTTTAAATGCACAAAAACTGCGCAGACAAGTTTAATCTATTTATCTATTTGAAAAACATCTTTGTAGGAGGTCTGGAGGTGGGGGGGGGGAGAGACGCGTCTGTGTCGGAGCATAAACTGCAGCATGATAAAATAAACACATAAGCCCGGTTCTACGATCTCTCTGCTTTGGCAGATCGTCAGCAAGTTAAAATCCTTCACGATCTAAGATCGTTATATTGCCCACCACTACTTGAAGGTGCGCATCACTGTCAACTATTGTTTATAACGGTCGAGCCAAGGAGGAAAGAAAGCTTACCCGCCTAAAACCATATAGAAAGAATAGGAGACGTACATTTGAATTAATCAACATTGAAAAGGCAGAATAGAGTAAATTAGGATCTGGTTTAGAACAGAATAGAACTAAATGTCAGGAAGGAGGAGGATGACTGCCACAGAGGCTCCAGAGCCTTGATGAGGCAGAGTCTGATGGAGGCAGGTTCGGATACGAAAAGTGACGTCTCCTGGTCTCTCGAAACTTCATCTGACACTGGCTCTGAGATTGAACCTGAGAATGATACAGAGATCATTTCCATTCGCAAAAAATGCTGGCTGCTGTTCCCGTGGTTGTCGATAAACTATTCAAATTTCAAATTCATTAGAATTTAATGTTTGTGTCCTGAAGTTTATTATACCTTTCACAACATTACAGATCCATTTATTCTTATATTTGATATTGATTATTGAAATGATATGCAAACAATTCGTAAACAGTCAAAATGACCGCTATGGCCTTTCTAGTAGTGATAGAATGCCGGTCGTTCTAGTGTTAACTTCTATTTTCGTTGCTATTGTGGCCAGTTAAAGTTGTGTTCTTAAAGCTTGGCTAAATGTCACTATTAGGGAAGGTATGGGTGTTATGGTCTCAAAAGTCAATGACGTGGTTTTACCACAGTCAAATTGAACCAAGGTGTGTAATTGCACAGTTTTTCCTGTAGACTGTAACATTGACATAGTCTCATTGAGGGCCCTCATTCTTTTCTTGAGACTTTTGAAGCCCATCAGTGGCGGTCGCCATGTTGTAAATGCTCTTTGCCTTCAGAATCAAAAATTATGAGTTGTAAAAAAATGTTTCTACCTATGGTGTGTGCTGATAAATAAATGAGCTGTTAAGACATTAAGTCTTTTTTTCTGAACCAGGCTGTAAATATGTTTATTTGTGCTGTTAAAACAAGCAACTTTGAATGGGTGTGTATGTGACTTCCAGGGATTTTGCACCCAGCCTCAAGTGGTCATTTGAGGAACTGCATTTTTTTTGCTTTTTTTCCCCTGTGAAATGATCATAGACGGTATATAACAGTCTATAAATAAATACAAATATATATACAACATGTTAATTTGTTTTCATACAGGCCTTGTTTTTCAGAATAAGCAAAGTGCAATGTTTAAAACACATTAGATAAAAATAACTGAAAAGGTTAAAAATGGGTTTCAAATGTCTTTTAAATGTAGCTCTGTGTCAGTTTATTGTTTATTTCTCAGCAGAAAAACTAGAAGCCTAAATTATGGTTAAAACTTTGGAAACCTGTGTTTTTCTATTTGTGTGTGTGTGTTCTCTTAATTCCGCAGATGGCCAAGAAATTCACAGAGGACAGCTTTGCCAACAACATCCGAAGCTTGATCAGTGACGACAGGACCCTTGATCCCCAGTATTACAACATCACCCCTCATCTGGACAGCATGGGTACCACGCATGTGTCTGTGCTGGCTGAGGATGGCTCTGCTGTGTCTGTCACAAGCACCATCAACCACATGTCAGTCCCTGCAGGGTTCTGCTTCCACCGTCAAATATTATTATTGGTTTGAGAGAAGAGGATTAGAAGGATTTAAGAGATTATTGAGGAAGTGTTTCTTTTAAAGGAATTTATAAAGAAATCTCTCTTTTCATAGGGCTGCGGTAATCACAGTCCAAAAGCTTTCCATGACAGAGCAGTGTGTATGATAGCTGCTATAAGTTTTTAAAACTGCACCACAACCAATCCTGTTCTTCTGATGCATTTTCCCACTCAGATTTGGCTCAAAGATCTTCTCTCCGAGAACTGGAGTCATCCTCAACAACGAGCTGTCTGACTTCTGTGGAAGAGTCGATAAGATCTTTCCTGGTAATTAAATCAACGAAACCTGTTTTAGAGTTATAGATACAGGTGCACATTTGTTTTTTACATATCAGTTGATGCATACTGCAGGATAGATAGACTTAAAAGGCATAGTTATTATTTTTGGTGCTGCAGTGCATATAAAGGAACAATATTTATATGAAGTAACCACTTATTTAAGCTTCACAGCTTCTCTTTTAGGCACGCAAAGGACTCTGTTTTGTATATTGACTTGTTAGCTTAAGGTGCTACTGTGCTGAATAGAATAGGCTAAGCTAGCTCTGTGTGACTGTAGCTCATAGACTGATTAAAATGTATTCTAAGTGACTTCACTCTTTGGTTTCTGAAGTGCGCTTTTGAAGCCCATTGCTGTGCAATAGAAGAAATGCTGTCTCAAACTAACTTTGGGTCAGTCTAGAAACAATCAAAGAGCTGGAGCTGATGCAGGCATTAAGCCGCCTGACGAGCCCTCCCATCAGTCAGCTCATCTTTGCTTCTCATTATGGATAACGCTTCGCATTAATAATTAAACAGATTAGTAACACCTTTTCCACAGTGTTTGCTGATCACAATATTAAGGCTCAATTTGGTGAACAAATGAGCTACCAAATTTATTCTTTGAACCAGCCTGTAAACATGTTTATTTCTGATAGAAAATGGGCATTTTAAAATGTGATTTGTGTGACTTCAGGGGCTTTTGAAGCCAGCCTCAAGTGGACACTGGAGGAATGGCAGGTTTTTGCACTTCCACATGAGGTGTTTTCAGGAACTTCTTCATAGTTCTAGGAACTGTTGGAACCTTCCTCCTTTTTTATTCATTTTCCCACCGCAGGAACTTTGAACTATATTAGTTCCTAGAACCCCGTTTCGAGGAGCCTTTTTAGCTCCTGCTTCAGAGTAGGTACCATGGCGGTGCGAATGCAGACTGAAAAAAAGTTCCCATGGTGTGCAGTTCTCAGGGAACTCCCCAGTGGATAGTTCCACTTCAAAAAGTCCCCAGAACTGTTTGGTCTGAAAACACCCATTGGCTTCATTTCTCAACACTGGAGTTTGTTTCCTACTGTAGTCTCTTAGATTGGTCAAAAGTCACTCACTTGTCATTATATTGTGATAAAAGAAGTGTACACCAATAATCACTAACAGAGCACAATGTTGCATAAGAATTAACCTGAAAGGCACAAAATCATCAGTTTTGTTAATTTTAAATAAACTATATAGTTCTCCTGATCTCATGTAGGCAGAATGAATGATATTAGACACAACCTTAGCTTTCTTCCATGAACCAAAAGGAAGATTATTCTTTATTTAATGAAAGAGTTTCCTTTATTGGGCAATAATAATACAAAAACACCCAATTTGCATTAATGATCTCATAATTGCAAGAACTGTAGAGGCCCACTTGTATAAATAGCCTCGATTTTAAATTGTTAATGGGCACTCTACTTGAAATTTGTGTGAATCATTTCAAAAAGATGAGATGATTTTAATGAGGATAAAGCTTGTAGAAAAAAGAAGTACATGTCAGGGTTGAATTACTGTGCTTCGCCCTCTGATGGACGCCTTTGATTCCATGATTCAAAGTCCCCCCACTGTGTGCATTTATAATCATTTTCTTATCATTCCGCTCACATTGACAAGTCCTTTCTATCAGTCAAGGCTTTTGTTGTGCTCGCAGGGGAGCAGCCTCCCTCCTCCATGGCCCCCGTTGTGTTCAAGTCTCGGTCGAAGACGCTGGTGATTGGATCGACTGGTGGCAGTATGATCACGACTGGGATTGCCTCGGTACGTATCAAGGGCAATCACACTAAGTGCCATTAAGAAAAATTGCTGCCGCCTAATGCCCCTCACTGTTGTCATAGCAAGCGCAGTCTTCTCGAGCTTCTTCAGTGTGTCCATAATCCGTCCTGTAATCATCACTTTCCCATCAAGCAGATTGCAATGTTTTGTACTGTCTCTCCTCCAGGCGCTCATGAACCACTTTTGGTTTGGAAAGAGCCTTAAGGAGGCAATTGCTGCTCCCGTTGTTTTTGTCGACTCTCAAAATGCAGCAAAGTTTGAACCTAAATTTGACAAGGTAATACACTAAACACATTTAATTACTTTAATATTTGTTGCATCTGAGCCCCCTTTAACAATACTCCTTCCTTCTCCTTTGTATCTTTCAGGATGTGATCATGGCTCTGAAAGCAATGGGACACAAACAAGAAATTGCAAAGTATTTCTACAACGTGGTCAACGCTGTGGGGAAGGAGGATGGCTGTATCTGTGCCGTGTCGGACGCCAGGAAACTGGGTGAAGCTGCTGGTTACTAGGACAGCGGGTCAGTGACTCTGGTTAAACAGGAGGCCGTGAAGGATACAGAGACGTCCCTGCAGCCGCAAAAACCACAAAGGCTGCCCCAGATGGAGTTTTACGTGATCACAAATCATGAACAAAGTGCTGAGTGTGGCAGTCAAACCTGTGGACTGTAACATGTACATTATGAAATCCTGCTGAAGAAACACCTGAGACTGCATCTGACCTCCTGAGACTCTGTCAGCTTGTTTTGACACATTTCTAACTCTTGTAATTATTGCACTGTGGACTGTAAACATAAACATTTCATGCAATCCATATTTTCCCCGTTATATACAGTGACTTCATATAACATTGTGTATATGTGCTATTTTTAATCTCTGATTAAGTGAAAAACTTCTTCATAGCTTTTATCATCAGGTATTTAAAGTCTTAGTACTGGAGTTGCCCTTTTACAATAACTGTCACTTTATGCATATGAGCTGTTACTGCAATGTTAATGAATTTAAGTGCACAAGATAGATATTATTTCTAATATTCAAATAAAAATGTAAAAATTGATAATACTACTAATACTATAATTAATTAAATGTGAGAAAAACCTACAAAAACAGCATTTTTTATTGTTGCAAATCTTGCAAAAAATGTGTCAGCTATCCAAACTTTGAAGGGCAGTGATTTTTAAAATGACTTCATAATAGATCCATAAAAGAAACATGTATGCTGTATTACACGCTATCCTTAAAGCTCCTGTGTGGAACTTTTAGTTTGTGGTGACCCCTGTGGACGGGGTTCATGTACCGCTTACATCTCTGCCGATCCTGTTCTTTACATGGGTAGGTAGTGTTTTCTGACATAAATTCCCAACTTGCTTTCTTTCAACAGTCATATTCGTCATCAATCATCATCATAATAATATTTGCAGATGAAAGTTTAAATAACAGGATGATTCTGCAGTGTGCTGGTGCGCTACTTATGTGACATCTACCTGCTGGCAGTGGTTATAGCCAATACAAATCTGGTCACAGATGGTAATGTTTCCTTTTCTAGATATTGAAGAGGTCTGGATATTAAGTTCAGTCTGCTTTATAACCTTCTAAAAACGAATATGTCACATCGAGTTGATGCTGAAAAAACAGAATTATGTATGTATAAATAACTAGAATATGTGAGAAATAATAATAAAAAAATCAAGTAAATCCTGCTTGCAGTTCATGAAAGACAACCAGTAACTGCATGTGCTCTTTTTGATCCTCAGGCTGACTCTTGATCCCTCTAACCCGGGGTCAGTCCTTTTGTAATCATGTCTGTAAAACCATCTATCTTTGCCATAATTTATTCTGAAACAATCTGGATGAATTCTCTGCCGTTTTTCTTAGTTTATTTTTCATTTCTGTGCCCGAGCATGAAGCAGCTGGAGCAAGATAATCAGATCAAAGGGTGAGGCACACAGGAGAGCAGTTTCCTGAGACAAAGTTAGGACATTCATGTCTCTGCATAAAGGCCTGTATTGGAAATGTAGTCAAAAGTCAAATTAATTTGTTTTTCTTATGTTATTTAACTAAAAAACAAAGAAAACAAAAACAAATATATGAAATGAATCTATCATGAAAGGGAAAGGTCAGGTAATAAGCTCCTGGTGTTTTCTTGGGGGCGGACCCTGTTGCCCTGTCTCATGGTATTTGGACCTCAGGGGTGTGACAGTCACACTGCGCCCTGACCTTATAGGAGCCACCTGCTGCAAATGCCACATTACCATGTCTGGCAGCACGAGCACACAGTTGCCAGGAGAGGATCATGGGTAGAGCTACATGTGATGACCACTCTGCCTTTACAAAGCAAACGATTGCAGCACAGGCCTTTTCCCTGACAGCTCTGTGCGGCCCAGATGATCCGCTGGCTCAGGAACAAGAACAGCACTCCAACAGCCAATCCCAAACAGCACGGTTCAAGCTGATTGTTTTTATTGCCCTATTTACAGACTAATCTGCATAAATAAATCCTCCGTTTGCTTGTGTGGGCAGCTGCGGGTTCTGTGCGCCTGACCCAGATGTTCCAATGCAACCTAACAAAAAACCAATCCACACCTCACAGCTCAGTTTGGTTGTTTTATTGGCAGTCAGTGTCTGGCATGAGACGAGTACACACAAATTACAAGGAAAAGTTTGACGTTGAGACACAAAAAACAGAAACTACGAAACAAGTGGACAGTGATCTCCATCATCCACATGAAACATTCAACTTAAAATGTGTCCGCACTGATTGCATTTACATTTTACTGATCTATTTGCTGTTTAATTTTGTAATACCATCAGCCTTCCTTTTTTGTTTGCTGCTCGGCAGGAGGTCACTGTGCTCAGTTTTCATAGTCATTAAAAACATCATAAATTACAGAGTCGGACAAAAGACGAAACACCGAAACAATGATACAAATAATTACGACAGTAATCAGACACTTCACCGGTAAACACAGAGAACACACAATCAAACATTTAGTATATATCCAGTGATTCAGGTATGTTGCTTTTAGTGAGCCTTCTAACAATCATAAGCCATTTGGTCATCTTGTACCTTAGAGAGGTATGCTTTCAGTTTCAGCTTCGTAAATATCGGTTGTAATAAATAATGTATACAGAGTACAGTATATGCAAAAAAGGAACTCAAATATAAAAGAAATAGTCCTCTTAAAGTGCTCTGAAGTGTTTCAGTCAGTCTAACTTCATCATAGTGTGCTACTGTAGACGGACTTTAACAAAGAGGTAACAGTCATGGCTGTCTCATAACAAACACAGGGCCACTGAAGTACATCAATAAATGGAAAGGAGAACACATTATAGAGACAAACGGCAGTAGGACGGGCAGTTTGGGGAGTGCTCAGACTGGACCTTTATGAACAGTGTCTTTAATAAACACTTAAAGTGAAGACTACAACAGCTCAGTAATTACAAAGAGGTGAATATTAGCGTTTAGGCAAGTGCAAAAAAAACAATCTACCCATTGTACCTGTTGTCTTCTAAGATTGCTTTGTTCACCTAAAGTGCACAAAAATAGCCCGTGGAAACACAACAGAGCCATGTTTTTGTGTGCTCACTTACATCTACACAGGGGCAGCGTGGGTATTCACAAGTGGACATTTGGAAAGGGGGGGAAAACGCAAAAAGTCTTGACCTAGCAGTTTTGCCGGCATCACGTGACGGGTCGTCGGCTGTATAGTCTGTTGAACTTGTGTCATAGCTTTTGTTGAGAGATTAACAGAGAACACACAATGTGGAGCTAGGCCCTGCCTGCCAGAGATAGCCTCAGTCCTGGTAGAGGATCCACAGGGACCGTGTTTCCAAACTAACTCGAGCTCCACTTCAGCCACCGCCGGGATGTCTCTCCTCCAACCGACCAACTGATCTAAATCTCCTCGGGATTGGCTCTTCAGCTGCCATTTATAGAGAAGCAGATCGAGAGATAAAGGGGAGGAGAGAGAGAGAGAGAGAGAGCACCAGTTTTTTAACTCTTCCGGACCCCCTCCAATGAAACCGCACCTTGTTCCCAAGAGCACCATCCACCAACACGGTAAGTCGTCACTTCACTCTCATCTTGTGCGGGTTAACTCAGAGATGGTAAGGGATTGGTAGACGTTTCGGGACGACGAGTTCACAATGTGGGCATTGGTCTCCTTCGTGCCTCAAAGGGTGACTGGGCTCGTGGTGTGAGGGCGAAAGGGCGAAGGAAGTATCAGAGTGCTGTGGTATGACGTTTCCACCACAGTGTGAAGAGCCTCAGAGACTAAATACTCCATCACCTCTCACAGTAGTGAATGGTGAAGTCTTTGGAGAGTTGCTTTTCCCCTAAAGACCACGGCTCCAGCTCGAACCTGTTCCCCATGTCCTCCTCCTCCTCTGCCTCTTCCTCCTCCTCCTCTTCCTCCTCATAGTGGCTGGGCTCCTCTATGGAGGTCTCCAGGTGGTAGCAGTAGGGTTGCCCCTCTGTGTACTCGTAGATCGTCGGTAAGCTGCTCTTCAGGCTGCAGCGGCGGCGCAATGCGACCAATAGCGGCTGAGGCATAGTGAAGATATCCACGTTGTTGCCCAGGTCGATCCAGGCCAGGCTGGAGAACAGCTTGGGGTCTTTGAGCATCTCAGTGAGGTCCTTGAGGATACCCAGGGTGAGGCGGTTACCATTGAGAGCCAGGGTGCTGAGTTTGGGCAGCGAGCCGAGGAGAGGCAAGAGAATCCTCAGGTTCTCGTCCTGGAGTTCTGTGAAGCTGACGTCCACGGCCATCACACTGTCTCTGTTGTTCTGGAGGTAGAAGGCCACCTGACGGACATCACGGGTGGACAGGGGGATGCCAGACAGGTCGACTGACTCACTGGACAGCTTTTTCTGTAGGGTTGTCTTGAGACTGATGGGGAAATGAAGAGAGAAAGAAAGGCATTACTTACTGTAGACGACTGACATGATAAAACACAAACCAGCCCAAGGTTGAGCTGGAGGTTGAAATGATCTTCAAATGATTCCCCAATCCATGACATGGGAACCAAGCAATGGATTTATGTACTGTTTTTTGACTATTACACACTAAAAATTCACCCTGCTAACACTTTTTTTTTTTTAAATGTTTTTTTTCCCATTACTGTTCAAACCAACAAAAAAAACGATCTACTCAATCAGTCCCGTTGGTACCGTGCCAAGGAAACCCATTATTATTGCGCTACATCGACCAATGCTGGGTCAATTTTCATCAGGGTTTTTTTTTTTGGACGCACAAAGCATTGGGTGACTGGGCTGGCATGGAGCGGAAGGCTGACACAGAGACTACAGCGTGAGGATTTACTCGTGTAAACAGAAGAGCCAAAACATCCGAATGAGCCAGCAGCTTGAGCTTACAGCTCTGACGGTCAGCAGCACAGAGCTCCTTATACACAGTCCCAGAATGTTTTAGTGCTTAAAAGATAATCTATGATGGCTTTTAGAAAAAGATTAAACTTAAATAAAAGAAGGGACTTGGCAACTTTATTTATAGGACAGGAAAGGAGAGAGATTAGTCTTTTAGGCACGCTCCAATACCAAAGGAAGTCCCTCGAGAGTCACGAGAAGTCACCAAACCTGAGAGGCATTTTGGCTTAAATTGAATTAAAAGTTAGACAATGACTAATGTTTAATTTATCTTTACAAACATTCTTCAAATGTAGAAATGTTTTTAACAAGTTTCTTATGACTTGAAACACTTATGACTTAAAAACAACGTCTCATCTGTATGACTGTCCCTAATAGTTAACTTAAGATACACGAGCTAAACTAATGCATGACTCATAAGTACTACAAAATGATAGAGTCACTATGACTTGTGAGTTTTTCAAAATCCTGTTTGTTATTTTAAAGAGGTGCAGTACTGCAAAGACAACAAAGCTGCTTTAAACCCAAAATCATTGATCATGGTGTTCTGGTTGACACATAGACAGACGTGTTTCTACAGATTAATGATCAGGTATTAGACTGTGAGTATTAAAGGTTTCTAAAGATTGTTCCAGTGGATTGGTTGGTCATGGAATTACAGGTAGACGCCTGCCTTTACATTTCTTTAATAAGTTAGACGTTGTTGCTGTTTTTCTATCTAACTGGACACCAGCTCATTGGTTATAAATGTAAACATCATGATTTGTTAATGTTAGCATCAGGAGTTCATATATTATCATGACTCATTAGAGTGGATTGATTATTGGCTTGTATTTGAATGACTGACATGAGCATTTTGACCTTTACTTTGGTGTTAGTATTTTACAAAGTATTATTAGTACAATTATAACTCCTTGAAGAAAGTTTTTTTTAATATGTGAGTGACGTGTATTCTGTCTTTTATAACTTAACGGCCTCTCATGATATCGTGTAGTAGTGACTCTGAGCATGAGGGACACTTTTCTGAAGCGTAAACTGTGGCTGTCAAATTGCAGCTCACAATATTTTTGCATTATTTTTCACTTTGCCCTTTTGTTACCCATCAGTGATATTTATCAGTGTGCACCCCCCCCCACCCCCTCCACCCTGAGGGTGCGGTGTGTTGTACTTGAGCTGTTGCTAAAGTGGCCTGTAGCGCGGATTCAGTGTCAGAGTGAATTATATCATCCTCTGGCTCACAGTGACTTACTGTGACATCCACTGCACAACCTGTCCTGCTGATGCTTTAGAGTGTTTTTTTTTTTTTTTTTTTGGGGTTGTGTTGAAAATGGATGACCCCTGAGCAGCACTTAATGCTTCATTTTAGAGTCAGGTGCTGGGATGACGGGCAGACAATTCATGCATTTGAGTGCATGTTTAACTTGCAAACACAAGAAAGGAAAAGACGAGTTACAAACCACCTCACGGAGCACGGCTAAAGGGATTCAAACACGCCTCAGAACACAAAATCTGACATAAAGACAGTGTCAAAGCTGATGTATCTTTATTTATAATTATTATCATTACTTATCCCTCTAGTGTCTGTCCCTTGCAGCCTTTCAAATGACAGCCTATCTTCTCAAGAGGCACAAAAGTCCTAATGGCTGCCGTCTTACAGAGTCTTTCCCTGCAGGTGTGAATAGGTGCTGATCACAAACCACTTCTTTGTCTGTCTTTTACAGACAGTCTCATCCCTTTGAGCTCGGGCAGCACAAAAGAAAAAAATGGATGTCTGAGGCGTCCTCTCAGAGAGCCTCTTTCAGCCTTCCTCCAGATTAAACTGAGCCCAGAGAACAAGGGTGTCACTGATAACTTCTTGTGGTTGTCCTTATTTTTTTTCTTTACATCAGTAAGAACACTGACAACAGCGTTCAGCCTGAATGACGAAGCAACTCTATAGGTAAGCAAATGTAAAAATATGGAGAAAATATATATATATTGAGGGTGTGCTCCAGTCTTAACCATAAATAATAAGTATGCTGCTAAATAGATTTCATAAGCAAGCAGAGAGATAATTAATCCCTTCCGGCACATCACTAATTGTTGAATTAAATCCAGTGAAAACAGAAACTGCAACAGCGTTTGAGTTATAGTGGTACACTACATGCACAATCAATTCATCTTATGAATAACCAGAATATAATTAAGTCATCATTTTAACGTACGTTGCATAATGAATTTGTATTAGAAAACAAAAAGAAAGGAATCAGAGTTGATCCTTTGTCTCCTTGTGTGGCTCATCAGTCAGTTTGTCGTTGATTTTCAAATAATGAGGAAGCACTTGCACACAGCTCCCGTTAATCAAATCACTCTTATGATAATATATTAACATATATATTAATATGTGTCTGATGCTAATTGAGGAACTAGGCTTTAGAAATAAAGAATAATGCTTTTTGGAAGAGTGAAACTGCATATCTGAACAAGTGGGTGGACAATAACAGCCGTCATAAAAATCCCATTTTATTTGAACATTAACTAACTCTTTTCCACGAGCCCATTTGCTCATTGCCCTCCCCGGGGCTGTTATTGCATCGCTCACACGGTTTAGATTTTTGCAGAGTCATTGACGCTGAAGCTTTGCTCTATTATTCATTTCGGCCCTCTCATGGCTGAAGCCAAACTGCACAGGAGAGACACGAGATGGGACGTCTAATCTCATCTGCTCCCTGACATCTCACTTTTATTTTCCACTCTTTTTCTGCTCTACTATTATATTTGCAGAATCTGGATAGAAGTGACACACACAAACACATGAACCACGGCATCGTCCCTCACGGTGCAGGGAATCCAACCTCAAAGATCACAATTATAAAGCGATAAACACATGAATATAACCTCCATGTGTTTCTGCTCGGAGCAGGTGTCCCCATTTTGAGCCTTTTCTGAAAACTTCATCATATCCTCAATTGACCTGGAGTAGGACTGAAGTAAAATGAACGATGGCCCCCTGAGGAAGCTTTAATACGATTTCACGCTGCAAAGCACAATATTATTTTAAGCAGTGAATTTAAAGACAGCTTAAAACCTGAAATGTTATTATGGAGTTGATGAAGAAAAAAACATGTGGAAACTTAACGGCACTGGTGACAAATTGTTCTTATTTGTTTTCATTGCTGCCAGCGATCAGGTGATAGAGGAAATAAGGTAATTACGAGGTGAAATGAAGCAGAGGGAACAGGAACATGGCCGTGAAAACTAAGAGACGAAAGGTCACCCAGGTGTTGACAGTTTTTACACTGACACAAAATGACTCCTTATAAGTATCCTCAGCAGCAACACTGGGTCACTTCTTCCATCAAGCCCCGTGAAGCTCTTTCATTTAATATGAAAAAAAAAACACAACAACACCAGCAAAACATGAACAAACTAGCAGGATAGATTTAATAGATTAGTGAGATTCAGACGTTAATTCAGTGAGGCATTTCAATCAAACTCGCCTGTACAGTATTTAGAGCGACTGGTGTGCAGAGCTAATGCTGGATAATGAAGGGATGAACGATCCAGTGGCATTAAAACAAACTGAACTGCTTTTGTTTTGTCTGAGTTCAGAGAAACCTCACAGAGGTGAGATTGTTGCATTGTTGCAGGGAAGCCAAACGTGCCAGGAGAGTTAGAGGGAGAGAAAACCTCCAGTAAAATGAAATGTCGAGAGTATCTTGTAAATGTGAGTATTTTTATCTTTTGTTGATAATGGAATATTTTGAGATCTTATTCTTTCAAAATACATGTCTTTTTGTTTCCACAGAGAGTTAGCTTAGATAATGATCCCACTATCATGTGTGCTAAGCATGAATCTGTATGCAGCAGACAGTAAGCTTAGCCTGACATACAGAGGTAGATCCAGGAGTTGTCCTGGGATGGATTACCTCCACATGAGCCTGTGTGCACACACACACGCACATGCACACGCACACGCACAGCCATGTCCCCCTCCAACGTTTTTTGAAGCTTTGATTTTTGCCTGTCTCTTCTCTTTTGACATTAATCTTTAGCAGAACGCTAAAGAGTCTCAAATAAGATTAGTCGTGTTTTGAAATGTTTCACTCGATATTCTGTTATCACGTCAGCCTTGGAGGAGTCTTATTGATGATGACCACAGTATCACAACAAACATCATAAACTTCAACCACATGACAGCATACAGAGGAACGACAACCTTCAGTTTTGACAGAAGCATTGCATCTCAATCTGTGCCTTTATGGGAGGGACATATGGACAGTGGACCTCCCTCTCTCTCTCTCTCTCTATCTCTCTGTCCCTTTCTCTTTCTTGTACACGTGGCAATTTATGAATAAATTAAAAAACAGCCGCCCGCCCAGGTATCATCTATGCGTGGGAAACACTTTTGAGTCCTTAAAGAACGAAGCTCAGGAGATGTGTATGTTGCCACTCTGTTGTGTTACTTTTTCAGGTTAAAACAAAACACAGGATTATAACATCTTTTAGATACTTGTTGTCTATAGATAAAGATAGAAATGTTTTTAAAATCCTATTCAGCCATATGTTTGTGCTCACTTACTTCACCTAGTGGTGTCTGGAGAGGGCTTTTGGAGCCCGTTGATGGCGGTCTACATATTGGAAATGCTGTCTCCAACTTCCTCCAAAGTCATTCTAGTAACAGGCAAAGAGCTGGAGCTGATTCAGGCCTTTAGCCTCCTGACAAACAGCTACAACACACCCGCCAGTCAGTCAGATTAGACACGCCCCTTATTGTGAATAAGTCTTATCCTTCATTAAATCGATACAGACAAAATTCACCTCTCGTACAGTGTGTGCCCATAAAGATTTGAGCAATTCAGGCACAATTATTTTCTTTTTTTTTTTAAACCAGACTGTAAACATGTTTATATCTGCTCTAAAAAAATCATTTTTTTTGAATGAGTGTGTATGTGACTTCTGGGCTTTTAGAGCCAGCCTCAAGTTGACCCTCTAGAAACTGCATTTACACTGGAGTTAGCCGCTTGCTATAGGCTCTTCACTTTGGGTCAAAATCCCTTCGCTATTCATTTTATAGTTATAAAAGAAGTGTACACCAATAATCACTAACAGAGCAGGAGGTTGGTTCTGGTTCTGCCCATGAGAACCTCTAATAGTTAATGTTACATTTTGTTTGTTTCATTCATCAATAATAAAAACAAACGAGCAGTAAAACAACAAGATGACATTTTACAGGCTGAGAAACAGTCAAAAACAAAACTAGCTTCAGTTTTAGAATAGCATTTTCTTAAATATAATTTTGAGGCCTTTTTGTATTCATAAGATTTGAGAGAGACGAGAAATATCGGGAGAGAGAGAGTCAGGGATGACTCGCAACAAATAGCAACAGGATCCGAAGTCCCCATTGGGGCGCCTTCTCTGAGCTTAGCTAACGCCCCACTTAGCTTACGTTACAACACTTTGCTTTTATGTCATAATATCAACGGGTGTAACATGTTACTTAGTTAGCTTTCGAGCTGCTGGTGAAAAGACAGAACTAGGCACGCATTTTTTCCATGTTTTCAATATTTATACCATGCTAAGCTAAGCTAACCATCCGCTGGCTGTCGCTTCATGTTTGAGTATACACACTAAATATGAGTGGTATTTATTTTCTTTCCATCTCGACAAGAAAGCAATTCAGTGAAATTCCAAAAAAAGTCTTATTGTTTCAGTAATAAAAATAATCGAGCACAACCTGTGAACCTTTCAGACCCCATAGATACATCCACTTGATATTGTGTATTTAGCTGCTCTCTTCAATGACTATTAATGGAAAACTAAGTGTGCACCCAGAGATTTCTACAGTCAAACTGTATACAAATTCATTTTATTAAGTGCTGAACTCAAAAAAAGTTTATTAAGGAATATTTACTATTAACAGAGAGGTGCAGACTGACCCAGTGGCCCTGTCTCCCTCCTTTCTATCTTTGACGGCTATTTGTTCATGAACACAACAGCGGGCTAAGCCGTCAGAGCTCACAGCATCTAGTGTATTTATATTCTGTTTTAGGGTGGATTGTTGTTTGAATGATTCATCTTGCTCCTGCTGTCTCAGCCAGTGTCAGACTGTCTCACTCTCTGCAGGTTTTTGAAGTCAACAACATGACTTCAGTTAAAAAAAAAAATAAAAAAAAAAAGGCCCTTCAGCTAGAAATTTAGCAATCGTATGTATCTGCACAGTTTCAGAGCTGCTGTCAGATTCACTTAAATCTTGTTTCTTCTCTCTTCTGGGCTGAATCTAACGCTGAAGTGCACAGCGAAGTCGTGCTTGTGCAGCTCCACTGTGGAGTGTCTGATTCTGTCGCTGCGCTTGCTCTGATTCTGCATGTTGATACCGCCGACTGATTCATGATGAAAATGTCTCATCTCTCTGTGTTCTCATTGTCTCCTTTTCAACTATCCCGAGATTATTTCCACCCTCAGAAAGTGAGAGCATTATTTGCAGCGTCGGGCTGGCTGTGGAATAAGCAATTACACAAGAAGGACTTATGATAGCCTGCTTCTGTCCATGAATAGGATTACCAAGTACACCTAGGCACACAAGAGTCTATTTGTACACAGGCTAATACTCTATTCATCACTTGCACATCAAAAGCAATTCACTCTTTCATCAGGAAAAAGTATAATTATATTCAAACGCAAACCCTCTAAGCTTTCTTTAGCAAACAGATGGAAAAATTGGCTCCGATGCTACTTTTGAAAGGAGAACGACCAATGGCAAAACACATCCGCTGCACGTATCAAAGCACTATAAAAGAGAGATGATTGACAGCTGTGGTAACCATGGCGCTTCCGTCAGGTCAGCCTGTGGCCGGCTCTGTCCTACTTCAATGTCAGCTACAAAGATGGAAATCTGTACAGCTCGATGTGGAGCCGGGCCCTGTTTTCCGCTGTGCCGAGCTGCAAATTTATTACAGACTGGATGTCTGAACAAGAGGGCTTACCAGGCCTGGGATTTCCTTCTGGACATGCTCTGCCTTAGCCACTTTGAGTGTGGGGTCAGGTGGTAGATGAGCTGTCTGCAAATCTTATCAGAAGACTTTATGGTGTCTGCATCCTGCGGAACAGAAAAAAAAAAGGGGCTTCATTATCACACAGAACAAAGAAGCTGCAGCTTTCAATATGAGATGTGAGCGCACGAGAAAACATCTAGGGCCTATGCATTCATTATTTGACACCTGATGGGCCTTAAATCCTGCAAAATTTTCTCCATTTTCGAATACATATCAAACTGCATCTACATAAAATGGCTTGTTATTATTCATGATGCCTTAAGCTACTCCTGAACAAAACACGAGCTGCTTTGCTGGAGCACGCAAATCTAATCACATGCAGTGCGCACCGGTGAGGAAAACACAGGAAGTACACAGGAGAGGATTCAACACAGACACTGCTAAACATTTCAGTTCATTAAGCATGTTGTGGCTGCTGGTGGCCATTGCCTACATCAAGATCATTTTATATTCACAGTTTGAGGTTTCTTTCCATGCCAAAAAGCCGTTTTTTTATTTAATGGTATACTTGGCTGGCTTATAAGTTTGTAATTTTAATATGAAACATGACTTAATCAGGTACAAGAACTCAGACTTGAGAAAAAATAGTTCCATAAATTCAACGAATTGTCTTGAACAAAATGTCTGACTCATTGTAACAAATGTTCAGATATCAGCTGGTCATGTCACATGAGTCTGCAGAGTTTCTTTCAGGCATTCGTCTGCAAAACTAAAGTCGATAACAGCCGACGATTTGATGTTCATTGATCTTGAAAAGTCATGACTTAACAAAAAGGAAACCATCGGAGGCAGTGACTATAAGGAGAATGTTTTCTTTTGGAGAATACAAACATCATCAAAACAACATCTTTGTGGGTACTCTGAGAGTGTCAAAAGAAAGCAGCTGACCTTCTTGGGACACTGCATCTCTCGAGCCAGGCTGAGCAGCAGCTCATGGGAGATCGGGTCGACCAGGTTGAGGAAAGCAGCGTTTTTGTACAGGATGTCGTTGAGAGAGGTGCCTTCCAAACCAAGATCCTACAAAAGCAGAAAGGAGAAGAAGCATCACAGTGATGAGGAGCTGAAGCTAAAAAAAACAAAAAAAACAACAACAACCTGCAATGGTTACTTTTAAGGATGTAAGAGTGTGACTTTGGAACTGAGAAGAGACAAAGCAGCAGAGATGGTAAGGGGAACCTCTGGTTCAAAGGCAAGGTGACTGGAGATGGAAAGATAAAAGAAGTGTTTAGAGTGAAATATTCATTGAAGGAGACAGGAGATGTTTCATCTACAGTGGGAAAGTGAGGTCTAGGGGGAGGCACGGGGAGCTCTGTGGTTTGGCATGAATAATCACACCTCCATGCAACCGAGCCTGCTGCTCATCCTAACATGCCACGGCCAATACTGCACTAAAACGATGACCTCAGACTATTATCTGATCAGATTTGAAACAATGAACATGCATTCTTGCTATCTTATCTCTATATCTAAGATATTCTATTTACTGCACTGTAAGGACTATGCTTGTTAACCTTGATCTTTCAAACTCCCCCTGGAAAAACTCAAAAATGCAATAAATCCCCTTGCTGTTTGTCATTTCCTATGCACAATTTGATTTCCTTGATGCATAATCCCTTTCATCTCACACAACTACAGCCGCACCACTCTTAAATAAGAGATTTCATATAAATATGATTTAGAAATTTGAGCAGCGCATAAATACTTCTGCAGAGAGGTCAGAACTGACAGCTGCCGTTGCAGCTTACGCTTGAAAAAGACAAATTCCAAAAGGATATGCAGCAAAAACAAATCAAACAGACAAAAAAACCCCGGAGATTTCAGATGACCTTTTGTACATAGTGAGACAAGCAGAAGAAGCCAGCAGTGCAGCTGTGTGAAATGAACTGTATGTTCTGTCTGCATCAACACATCCATCCTGGAGGTACTAATGAGGCAAACTACGATGAGGAGCACTTGTGCAGCCCATGAAACTTTAATGAGAGCAGAAAACCTCAGAGACACGTACATACTGTATATGCACACACTGGCATACACATGAAGACGCACACTTAATCTTTTTCTCTCCGACACAATGGGCATTGATTGTAATTGACAGTTTGAGTGGGAGGCTGGCAGCTCCCCATTGCCGGCTCCCCTTTTAACGAGGGCAACAGTAAACACAGTCTGAACCCGAGGTGCGGGGGAGAAGCAGCTTCTTCCCTCCTGACGAACGAGGTTTAAAAATATCTCCGTTCTGAGATTCGACACCTTAAATTGTCACGTGAAATCGCGGCAGGAAGTCACAAATCCTTCCCGTGTCTGCAGCCGAGAAGCTCAGATCTTTGTCATATCTGGAGCAGCGCTCACTGTCACACGCGAATCAACTCCGCTCTTTCAAATTCAGAGAACAGCATCTCTCAGACATCTGTGAGCAATGATAAAGTAAGGCTTATTTAATAAAAGTGAACCTCATTTAGAGGAAGCAGGCCCATGTCCCCTGTGAGGTGGCTGTCATAGAGCCAAGGCTGGCCAGTTTATCTCTCTCGCCCTGATTAAGGATGTTCCACTCTCTCCCGTGTCAAGGCTTCAGAGTAATTAACGCAGGATCGGCCGACAGCTAAGAGACAGAGGAGGGCCTGAGGGCGAGCAAACAAATGAGATCACGGCTGCTGCTGTCACATCTTTGCTGCGCCTACATATTCTCCAACACGTGTTTAATGCTGCAGGTGCGAGAAGGCTTTGAAAATAAAACTTGGATTATGACGCAACATTATTCACTGAGCGTAGTCTGGCTGTGTGGAACATATGTCACGGCTACAGCACCTGTAGCCACACTGCCACTTTACATCATTACATATATGTAAAAAGAAACCACACAGCGCATTGTTGATGGGATGCATTTGATTTGAAATATTCTCAGCAGCCAGATGCATAACCTCATCCATAAATCTGAGTTTTAAAAAAAATGAAAATAAAGAAAATAAACATGGTTTTCTGCTATTTGTTTCCATAAATAATTAACAATTGTTAAGTCTACAAAATGTCTTGAAGTCGTAAAGAATGGTAAACAATTGTTTCTCTAATTTGCTTCTTTTCTCCATCCAACAGTCCGAAACCCAAAGGCTCTTCAATACATATTAGCTGTATTATAAAAAAGAAAACACCAAATCCTCACATTATAGGAACCAGTAAATGTATTACATGTTTGCCCTAAAAATGACTGAATCAGTGCACCAACATTCAAAATAGGAGATTATTTTTTCTTTAATAGATACATTGTTGCAGCGCTATACTATATATACATAGCATCAAGAGCAGGCTGGATTTTACATTTCTGTGACCTTCTTCCTCTTAGTGAGAGTTAATAAAGCTTTCAGAGTAGAATAATATTTAGTATGGGGGAACACAGGACTCCAGGGCTTACATTGTTGCTACAGGAGCTCAGGCCATTACAGAGAGAGGAGGAGAGAGAGAGAGAGATTGTTGTATAGAGAGGGATGGAGGGGGCAGGTTGCTCTAATGGCAGTGTGAGAACAGCCTGAGGAGAGGTGAGACTAGAGGAGGAAACAAGGGTATAGGCATAGAGAGGATGCTGGAGTGAGCTTGTTGTTCTATTTGTGTGCCGTGTTCTTGGAAACCTCTAGAGTTCCACTTCAGAGACAATTAAATTTAGTAGGCCTGTAGTGCGGTGACACACTGACCATGTCTGCATTAAAGCACAGCACAGGCCATGCATTTAGATGACATGTCAACACAGAGCACGTTCAGCTACAGTGAGAGTGAGTCACACACTCAAAACAATGTGTCACAGTCTGTTGGTGGCCTACTTTCTATGAAAAAAAAAAAAAACTTTCTGGAGGAAGCATGCTGAGGGTGATGTGTGACCGGAGTCAGGGGTCAGCAGGGGTCAGGAGACACCTGTGGCACTGCAGAACCGAACACATCAAACTGCAATCACAAGCACACATGCACATCCTGATTGCTCGCCATCTGTTGCTCTGGGATGTCTTGTTGCAGCAGCAGTGCACACACACACACACACACACACACACACACACACATACTACTTGTGTGTGCAAGCAGTGTGCAGCATTTCCTTACCTTCCTCAGTAGTTTGAGCACGTCGGTCGCCTGCTCGATCCGTCGGTCGCGGAGCAGTTTCTGTATCTCTTTGATCCACGTCACCCTCCTCATGTACGGGCTGTGGTTGCTCCTGCGCAGCATCCCAGGCAGTTTGTCGGATTTGAGCATCAGTGCGAACAGAAAGTCCCCTCCGCCACGGCTGCCTCTGTCGCTCTCTCCACCGCTATCCAGAAGCTTGCGTCGCTTTTTGGCGAAATTCTCATTGTCCAAACTGCCCTGCCTGCTCAGCCTGGAACCCATGTTGCTGTTCTTGTTGTTGTTTGTATAGGCTACAGATGCAGGCTCAGACAGTACTAGCAAAAGGACAGACCCATGGTCGGTCCCGGTTTTTCCTGTCAGTAGATGCTCCTCCTCAGTGGATGGTTGAAAACAGCGCCGTGCCGTCTGGCGCTCAGCAGCAGACTTGACAATCCGTTACCAGAACACAGCACTATCCCTCCACAGTCTAATGTATCCCCTTCTCTTATGCACAAGTCGAACACTTCTCTGTTTTGTTGTTCTCCCCTTTCCCCTGACTATACGTGCGCCTGGCTCGGATGGCTGAAGAGGATGCTCCGGCTGCTTCATCCTCCTGCTTTTTACGCTGCTGTTTAGGTCTGTGTAACGTGGAGCGTCCGACCAATCGCTGCATCTGCTGCCCGCTGCACGTCTCTCCTCCAACCCAGGCTCGAACCCCCCCCTCCCCCTCCTCTGTGCAGCTACAAGCTACAATAACAACATAAAGGATGGCAGTTTTCATACGATACGCCTATCTACAGGCTGTTTTAATTGGTTAAATTAACTTGACTATCTTAGGCAAACACGAAACCAATGCACATCTGATAAATCAAACTGGATCCTTTAGATAAAACTCGACATAGGCTTTTAAACAAAAGACAGTCAAGTTTATTTTTCAGTCTCTGAGAGAGGTGTCATATTTGTCCTTAAAGCTCCTGTGAGGAGTTTTTAGCTGCTAATGACACAGACTGAAACTAATAAATCATATACTGTAGGACTATATCAGTGGTTATCTATCCTGAGGATGCAGCTCCAACTCCTATATGAGAAATCGAGACCCCATTTCTGATATTATTCAATCAATCACATTTTGCACCTCAGATAGTACACAACATGTGACAGAACAAAGACACAAAACATGACAAACATCTTTAAGTACAGCATAGACTTTTTGACTGCATTTATTTAACAAGACACACGTTTTGCAACCCAGTGAAAATTGGACCCACTTTCGGGTCCCGACCCCCCAGTTGAGAACCACTGCTCCATATGACCTACAAATGCACTCTTATCGCCTGTCGGCAGTTGCAAATGCTGTCAAATCCTATTTGTCACAACTCCACTTAATCATCGTCATCCTTTGAACATCATCCATGTCATAGTGTGTGTGACACATGACTCAGTATCTTTGTCCAGGGAGCTCAATGGTTATTAAAGCTGCACAAATAACATTTCTAAGTTAAAATATTTCACACCATCTCCACACCTGCATTCTAGGATATTAAATATAACTGTGAACAAACACAAAGCAGGTATTTCCAGCTCTTTTCCTTTGAGGTGTTTGATTCTGATATGACCTTCTTTGTGGTATGATTCAGCTGAGATGTGCAGGGTGGTTGAAGCGCTCTGATAAATATGATCTCTTTCTGCTCTGTATCCTCCATGGACCTGCCTGCTCCATATTTTCCTAGAGGTTGTAATCATGATTGTCTGGTGCTCTTAATTGACTGCATCAGCCCAATGCTAACAACTGTTTTGTCAGAGCTTTCTCTCTTCCAAGCAATGCTTATCTCATCTTTGCCCTGCATTTAAAAACTGGGGTTATGGGATTTAACAGATGCAAAGAGGATCTCACAGAACATCCATTCTTACTCAAGCATTGCCTGACATTTAGACTACTGCAGCATCTTCTGCAAAATAAAAAACACGTCTCATGCAAGATCACCAAATGTAATGGTTACGAGATCCACAAAACTACTTTATTGCTCCAGGCAAATTGTATTATCTCACACATGGTTGAATTGGATTTTTTTTTCTATGTAACTGTAAAACATCACCTCTTTCTACTCTTAAAATATCTCAAATAATAGGTTTTTTTCTCCAGATGTCCCCTTCTTTCTTCATTACAAAGGACAGCACATATGTAACCTTTAGCCAGCTAGCAAAATATCACCTGCAGTACTTCTGCGAGATGCTCTAAAGCTAATTAAACGACAGTCTGGAAACAGATGCAGGGCAGTGAGGTAATGTAATGACAGCAATACAAGCAAATCTACATATTCACTGTAGCACACAAAACATACAGGGCAACAGGAAGACACAATGCATTGAAGCAACAGGTGTGCTCCAGTAGCTGTGAGGTTAAGTAGCTCTGCATTGTCCCTGATTCTATTCTGGTCACGGAGATGTGCTGCAGCTTTCACCTCGTTTGCTACCTAAGCAGACATGCATCCATTTGATTACCAAGTTTTGGAGTGAAAAAGACTGATTTGTGTTTTGTTTTTTCTGATCTTGAATTATTTATCTCTTATCCCTAGAGTTGCAAAGGCACAAAACAAACAGCAAAAGGCTTCTCTTACATCATTTGTGTGTGCAATGACAGTATGGCATGTCATGGTCTGGCCTATCACAGGGACCAGCATATTGTTCTGCCAGAAAATTATACCATTATTACAATCAAACATGTTTTTTTTTTTTTTTTGAGAAAATAAGATGAATTAAGCCTTTAAAATGGAAAAACCAGCATTGTTATCTCTAGATAACGAGATAAATAAGTCAAGACGGAGAGAAAACAACAGGAAATTACAGTACTTGTTATCAAAGGAAATAATAAATAAATAAAATCTATGGCTATATTTCCACTTAGGGCTTCTGTTCCTATCCATTCCTTGACTGGAACTATCAAATAAAGTCAAAACCCCAAACCTAGAACTTTTGAGCAATACATCATGATCTAACCACAAGTTATTAACATGTGCAACCACCTTTATTTTAATGGACTATAAACAAAAAAGATTAGGAACTACTCTGTGAGAGGACACGTCTGTCCTTTCATCTCTTGCAGCATCAGTGTCATTCAAGTCTGTATAAACACATTTTCCATCATGGTTAAGGAAGAAGAAGGTAAATTGTAAGCTAATAAAATGCAGTACACACGACAGATGACCTATCATTAAAGGTCTGCAGCCACCCATACAAACACATGACATCACCTGGGTCTATTGTAGACGACTCTCTGCTGTGAGTGTTTCTGCAGGCTGTGTCTCACCTGTCGCTGAGGAACAACAGGAGCGTGTGATTTGATTTCCTGCTGAGTGTATAGGCACAGACAAGCCTTCTCCTTTATTGTGTGAAAACAATCGGAAGGAAACCTGAAGTGTTGAAGTGTAAGGCAGTATCCCTCCCAGAACAAAGGAAATGAAACCTATAAACTCATACGTTTGGGAACAAATTCTAGACAGGCTGCAGGTTATTTTTCATTAAAATTCTTGCTTTAATTGAGAGTGACACATGCATGTGCACAAAGGCTGGAGAAGGTTTTTTATGTTCTGTAACAAACACATTTCCCCATCCTCTAAAAATCAGCTCTGTCCATGAAATAAACTCCCCTCCTCAGGCGGCTCTGCACCTGTGAGATCCAGAGCAGGATAGTAGTGATTAGATTGAAACACAATCACAACAGCAGCCTTAAAAACAGCACTAGCCCTGCATGCTCCTTTGACGATGTGTTATCAGTGTGGCCCTGCAACAGGCGCCAACGCTGGTTTAGTTCAGGTTCCACAGACGGGTATTTGCTGTTGAGAAGCACCTGTCACACACGCTGCCAGATTGGAGCTGCACTGGGTGAAGGCTCAGGCATCTCAATTGGTCTGAGGATGCCTGCAGAATAAGCCAAATAGAGTCTGACACGGCTCCTGAGCATGGTAACGCTGCCGGCTGAGCAAATCACATGGAGCCCCGAGTCGGGGCTGCATCTGTAAACAGATCACTTTCACCTTCACTTCTGGCAAGCCTGCTAGATTGATACCAGAGTGAAGTGCAAGGTGAGAGAGGAAACTCAAGACTTTCAGGAGGAAGGGGAGGCATCTATCATTTGGAAAATTGGAGTCTACATTTCAAAAACGCTGGGTAAAACTACTCCAAACTTTTTTTTTTCTGGAGAATCCAATGCTCTGTTTTTTGTCCAAAATCGTAAACCTACACTTACAATGTTTTCAAAGGGCACAAATTTCATTACCTTTGCCCTCCAACCCCATCTTTCTCTCTCTCTGCCTATTTTTCATCCTGTAACTTTCAAAAAGAATCCAAATAAAGTACATGCTTATTATCTAGAAACCCAAGTTAAGTCACACCTGAAAACCAGACACAATGACACATCATGCTGGTCAAACACCTAAGCATTACAGCTGACACACTCTCAGAGCTAGCTGAATGACTCTCTTCTTCTGTATTTTATTTGTGCAACACTTCCCATCTTCCTTTTCAAATACAACACAGCAAAGGTAAGTGTCAGCTCTGGCTTTCTTTCTTGCCTACCTACCTGCCTGCCTGCCCACACACACACATTGTTGTTGGTGTACAGGATAATCGACCACTCTGAAGATGGTAGATGTCTGAAGGTGAAGACACTTGTTTCTGAAATCTCTCTGAAGGATCTCATCTTGATTTTCCCATGCAGGAAAATGGTTGGGAAGTCCCTGATTGCTGGTCTGGTGGTCCTTGCGGTGGCTGCAGTGAGCCTGTTCCTCGGGGTATTCATGGGCTTAGGGAAGAATAACACGCCTCCCCCCTCGGACCACTTCTACTCTAAGGCTGCTGTTGCTGCTGATGCGGGGAAGTGTTCAGAAGTGGGGAGGTAATATTAATGATAATATAGTTTAACACTTTACATCTGAAGCAAATTTCAAAGTAAAAGACTGATGCCCTAGACGTTTTTTTTCTTCCAAACATGACCTGCAGTGGTGGTGCATGTGTGCATGTACGTGCCTGTGTCTATTCAGTGTGTTGCTGTGTTTTCAGGGACATTCTGAAGAAAAACGGTTCAGCTGTGGATGCCTCTATCGCTGCCTTGCTATGTGTTGGTCTCCTTAATGCTCACAGCATGGGTATTGGAGGAGGGCTCTTCTTCGTCATCTATAACGCTTCCACAGGTGAGTGTGCGTCCAAACTTCAATACAAAGTTAACTGAGCCAAAAAACAAAAACATCAATCTGTCCTGGTTTTTCTGCTCAACAGGGAGGGTGGAAACCATCGATGCGAGGGAGACTGCGCCCATGAACGCCACTGAAGACATGTTTGGCAACAACACCAAGCTCTCTCGTACAGGTACTGGCTGTAGGCGGTTGTGTTTCTGGAGTATTGCCCAGACACAAGGGGGGAAATAGACTTAGTCAATAAAGATTGGCGGTATTGTTTTTGTAAAAATATTGTAGCTACTTTAATGTTGTATCAGTAGGATTTAGAAGGGTTGTTACACTGCAGATGTCCTTGAGTGTTTTAGTGCCTCTGAGCATGCTGATCCTCCAGTCAGACAAGGACAGAGAGGATAAGAAAATGTAAACGGTGGCTCTGCTGTTTCTCTGTGACAGGTGGATTGTCCATAGCCATTCCCGGGGAGATCCGCGGTTATGAGATGGCACACAAGAGGCATGGCAGGCTGCCATGGAAAGACCTGTTTGAGCCCAGCATTGCCTTGGCTCGTCATGGCTTCCCCATAGGAAAAGCTCTGGCCCATGCCATCTTCAAGAGCAGGGACTCCATTCAAAGAGACGCCAACATGTGGTGAGGCAGATATACTCGAGAGCAATAACAAGGAACATAGTCAGAATGTTGGGACTGAAACTGAAAAAGAGGTTCTTATTCTCTCTCTTTGTCGAGCGTTAAATAAGAAGACTGATGTTGTCATGTCAAAATGCTAGTAATAAGACACAGCCAGTTGCCCTAGCTTAGCTCACAGACTGAAATATAGAGAGAGACAGCTAGCCTGGTCCTGTCCAAAGGTATATAATCAACGTTCCAGCAACACAAATAGCCTACTAAACCCTCCATCATTACTGCTGACACACTGAGAGCACTAATCTATTAATGAGTGTGCTTTAAAAATTCCAAAAATGCTTTTCTTGTATGTTGGACAGTGCCAAGACAAAGTAATATAAGTGAAGCATCTCCTTTGATGCATTAAAGCAGTGGATACAACTCTTAAGACTGAACATGATCGTTGGAAAGAAAACGGCAAAGCCAGCCCAAAAGCCAAAAAAGTTTTCTTGCTTCCTGGTTTGTGTCCATGTTGAGCAAATGTATGCACATGTACTTAACACTCGGATGAAGCATTAATAAAAACAAACCTTTCATAGCAGACCGGCTGAGGATAAAAAAGAGAAATGATTGATCCTGTTGTCCTGTTTTAGTGTCAGTGCAACAAGTGGCCACAAATTGGCAGCAAGGTGAACAGGTGATTCCCCTTCCATGACTCTTAATGAATCATTGAGTATCATGTTTCTCATTGGACAGACACGAATCAATCTCCTAATCTAAATATTTATGAGATAGATAATAGACACACTTCCCAAATCTATTCTCTTTTTAAGCCACTGATGGATCGTTTAATTTAGAGGACACAAATTCATCAGAAAGTCAAATAAGTTTTATAGGATTCAGCTTAGGTTGCTGGTTAGTGTGACTGATATGTCATGTTGGAAATGTAACATTACTAACATCATGTACATCACTTAACTGACATGATTACTGACTTTACTCCAGCTTTATTTTATCTAACCAAACTGTGGACACTTTTTCACATTAACCACATGATGCAATGGCTGTCTATTTTTGTATGGCCTTTACTTTATCATGTTTCATGCCAGTATTTTATATTGGGACGGGGGTGGAAAACTTCCAGGTACTTCTGGGCCTCATTGTTAAAAAGTAATCAAACAGGATGAAAGATATTAGATTAGATCGAATATTCAATCGGAGTGTTGAGAAGAAGATAAAAAAGAATAACCTAAATAGATAAGATCAGGTAATCCAGTCCTGGTTTTTATCTGTATAAAATCTCCAGCTTGGGTTGTTCAAAACTTTGAGTCGAATTAAGGATTCTTTGATCCAGAAGAATCAGGATGCTCCTGATCCCTGCACAGGGCTGGCTTCAGACTGGATTAAAAGCAACGAGGTATTCAAATTATTAAATCATTTGTCGAGGTAGAAGATATTTTTTTTATACATTTCTTTAAAATATTTTGCACTACAATGATGTATTGCTTCAGTGACAAAGTAGATGAGGTTTAAATTAGAGTTGTAACAGAATGAAGGATTTTGTTTTCATTAGTCATGTCATCAAATATCATCACTATCAGGTTTGTAGTGTGTCCTCTGTAAAGCACTGCGAGTCTGAATTTGGTCATCTTTAAAATGTGAATCAGGTTGATCAAATCTAGTTTTTCTTTTCGGGATAAAAGCGAGCTGGAAGGCTTAATCCTATGTAGAAAAAAAAAGCAGTTTACCAAATCTGGACCATTCTTATCAGGTTTGAACCTTTGAAATAACCGGGTCCTGGAGAGCCGGTTGGACTGGTGGGTTAACTATTAGACAGCTACATTATTAAATTCTATCCATGCAGAAGTGGCTTTGATTTTCGATTGCGACACATTTGAATAACTTAACTGTTTTTCCTTTTTTTTCTTGTCTTACCTTCCAGTGAGGTGTTTTGTGATTCTCAGAAAAACATCCTAAAGGAAAATGATATTGTAAGATTTCCAAAGCTGGCCGACACTTACCAAAGAATAGCAGAGGAGGGTCCTGATGTGTTTTATAACGGGTCAATGGCACAGAGCATCGTCAAGGACATCCAGGCAGCAGGTCTTGTTCTGATTTCTTGTTTCTTTCGAGATATTAATATGAATACATTGTGAGTACATATGAATCAAACAGCACATCACAGGTTCATCAAAAATACCACATTTAAATCCAACCGTTAGGACATCATTCCTAATTTTAAATTGACTCTGACACCATTAATGCTTCTTCCAGGGGGCATAATCACCCTGGATGATTTATTGGAGTACCAGCCTGTGCTGAATGAAAACCCTCTGAGGCTCAACGTAGGGGAATACACCATGCATGTCCCAGACGCCCCCTCCAGTGGGCCTGTGCTGGCACTCATACTCAACATAGTGGATGGTGAGTAGCCTGGCCAAGCTCCTGTGCGGCCATGCAGAAGAAAAGATGTCAGGTTTCCCCGGCTTCCCTGGAATGTTTTCTGCCTGTTTTGGTCGCACAAAACCGAGCTGTGACTCAGTCCTTCCTGCCAAAACGAATTCAGCCCCAGCACCCCATCTGTTCAGGCAGACAATCTTCAATCAGGCTTTAAATAAAAAGACGACATACTTATTCCAAATGAGGGATCACAGCTAATGTGTTCATGTATGAATCTGTAGGAACATAAGTCCATATTTATATTGCAGGAAGATGTCGTCTTGTTATTTGAATCAGGACTTTAATGATCTGAATGAAATGGACTGTTAGCACAGTGATGGAAGGACTCATTTCTTGATTGGATATTTTGCAGGGTACAATTTCACAGACACAAGTGTCTCTACAGCAGAGAAAAAGACTCTGACGTACCATCGCATCGTAGAGGCTTTTCGTTTCGCTTATGCAAAGAGGAGCAGACTGGGAGACCCACGCTATCTCAACATTACAGATGTAAGCCTTGCTGTTATAATTATTACCCTTGAGACCTTTGGTTTTTGTTTTTTTTTAGCATTTCTAGCTTCAGAGTATGATGTTGTTTCTTACTATCCAATGTTCAGTCCTACATGGGCAGACTGGATGCATAGTGCCTTGCTCAGGAGCTCTTTGATTCAGATGTTGTGTCTTCTGCATCGTTATAAAGGCCAGCAAGTCCTCTGCTGTTGTTTACCATTTATGGTCTTCATGACAAACTGTCACAATCTCCCTCTCTGTGACTGGCTTGTTTTGATCTCCTCAGCTCATCCACAACATGACCTCAGACTACTTCGCTGATGGCATAAGAAGCAAAATAACCGATGACACCACCCACCCAGACAGCTACTACGAGCCCGACTATTTTGTCCCAGACAACCACGGGACGGCTCACCTGTCCGTCATAGCTGAGGATGGAAGCGCTGTGGCTGCCACCAGCACCATTAATCTGTAGTAAGTGTAACACACAGTTTTAGTGTTTTTCTCTATGTGACTTTGTACTAATAAATTGTCAACAAGTTGTTTTATTTCCCCAGCTTTGGTTCCAAAGTGATGTCTCGATCCACTGGAATCATTTTCAACGATGAAATGGATGATTTCAGCTCTCCGTACATGACCAATGGCTTTGGAATCCCTCCTTCACCAAACAATTTTATTCAACCAGGTGTGTCTGGACTGAATTATTACACTGCCTAGTTTAGGCTATGTCTTTTGGTGATGGATGATGGTCTTTCTCTTAATTACATAGCGCTCTTAAATGGGATGTCACTCGACCCTTTCTGTAGTGAGGATGATGCAGAGGTGATGTTTTCACAAACCTTTCACTTGCTCCTGCCTCTGTCAATGCAATCCTCTTAAATCCCAAAGCATCAGTGTAATGTCTAACCACACACTGTGGCTCATTGCTGTTCTTTGGTTTGTTTACAGTCATTTTAAATACACGTCAGACGAACGTGTCTGTTTTTAGCTGTGAAATCGCTGCCTGGGGACCATCAAAACCACAGGTCCAAAGGTAAACATTTCCCCATTATGCAGTCATAGCCACATTCTGTTTATCTGTTGCAGGCAAGAGGCCGCTGTCTTCCATGTGTCCCACAATCATCTTTGACAAAGACAACAGAGTGAAAATGGTGGTGGGAGCCTCAGGGGGCACTAAAATCACCACAGCCACTGCCTTAGTGAGTCTGATTCATTCCCATGCACCCTCATCCTTCAAACACACAGTCAAGTATTTGAAAGTATTTGCTTTTTTTTTTTTTTTTTTCTTCTGGCTAAACTAGGTCATCCTGAACTCTTTGTTCTTCAACTATGACCTAAAGAAAGCTGTGACCGAGCCAAGAGTTCACAATCAGCTCAACCCAAATATGACCGTCGTGGAGCAGGGCTTTGAAAAGGTGAGTGATAGAAAGAGATATGTAGTATGCAAAACAACATCTGGTCTGTATTATAATGCTAACAGCTCTTTATGCTGAAGCCTGGGACATTACAAACACATTTGATTACAATATGACAACGCCTTCACAGAAAGTGTTTTAGTTCTCGTACGGAAATCATTCATGTCATGTATATCAAGGAAAATCAACCAGCAAAGCTTTAATGTTGTCTTAAAGATGCATTCAATAATAACTGCTAACTATTTATTTGTCTCTTGTGTCTGAGATTGCATCATGTACGTAGATGCACAAATAAACAACTTTAGAAACAAGCAAGCTCTAACTGTAACTCTAACACAATCACTTGAAACATCACTTTGAATAAAAAAATAAAACGTAAACCTGCTGAACAGTCTACAGCCGGATCGAGGCTGCATGAGGCTATATTTAGGCTGAGGTCACAGTGCTAACAGGCTCATGCAAATCTGGTTTAAAGTTTACCATGTTTATATTCTCAGTGTTACAGTAAGAGCTAAGATGCTTTTAGCACCTGAGCCAGAGCAGATGGGAACGTGTCTAGTTTTTGCAGTAACATTTGACACAATGATGGTACTAGATATAAAAATGAGAGGATCATTGACGGGACACAACTCACCTCGAGGGAAGCATGAATACGTGAACCACATTTCATGACAACCCTTCATTTGGCTGTTAGGATAATTGCCCAAATAACCCAAATATTCACCTCATTGTTCTATAAGAGGATTCATCCTGTGGACCTCATAAATGTCTTTGAATAAAGATTTATTCATGCCACTAGAGAAAATAATTACCAGATGAATATATAAAAGGTTAAACAAAGATGTCCTTTGATAGATTATTCATTCAGACAAAGATAGATTGTTGAAAGTTTCTATTTCTGTCGTGTGCTGGGTGCAGGAAAAGAAGAAATATAAGCACAGAATTTTCGAGTTGCATTTAAAAACTATGATCGGACATGTCCATGATGCATCATTAAAGCTGCTGTGAGGAACTTTGAGTTTGTGTTGATATTGGCGCAGCTGGGGACAAAGAGGTGCCTCTTATCTTTTCGCTGGTTTTGTCCTGTACATGCGCAAGCAGAGTTCAAAAAGACCTCTTCCTATTTTGTCTAAACAGTTGAATGCATCACTTGCTGTAAGGCTTTGCTGAGGAAAATTGTGTAAGAGGGGACATTTGCTAATATGAAATGTGATGACTGATCGCTCTACATAGTATCCACTGTGAGTGTGTTTGTGTCATCAGTGTGTGTATATGTAGGTTTGACCTGCGGTGTTAAAAGCACTTTGAGTAGTCACATGACTAGAAGAGCAGTATACAAGCTCAAATCCATTTACCACAAGGCTGTTTTTCTGCAGCGTGCTGTTAATCCCTTCTTCTGACACCTACTCAGTGGCAGCAGTTTTAGACATTAAAAATTACAATTCAGAAATAATTCATCTAGTCATTGATGGTCTTGTTTGCCCTCTAGGTCACAATAAATCAGTATTAATTGAAGTCTATTTCATAACCGGTTAACTTCACAGGATGTTTTATTAGGGTAGAGATAGGACAGTGGATAGAGTCAGAAATCAGTGAGAGAGAGAGAGAGTGGGGAATGATATGCGGGAAAGAAGCTGAAAGTCAGTTTCGAACCTGGGCCGCTTGCTTGATGGACCATAGCCTCCCTACTGTACATGGGGCGCTCTCACTAACCACTGCGGCACCAGCGCCCCATTTCACAGGATCTTTAATGGACTTAACGATTCATTGTCAAATGATGCTCCTCAAAGAAGTCTACTGCGTTATTATTTGTTACACCTTAATCTTCTACACAGGACTCCTTATACTTATTCATGTGTGTTGATGTTACCATGGCAGAGTGTCCTGGAGGGTCTGGTCCAGAAGAACCACGTCACACAGCTGCTGCGGATTCCCGACTCTGTGGTCCAGGCGGTAGTGCGTCAGGGAGAGTGTCTCTGCGCGGAGTCCGACCCCCGTAAAGGAGGCTATCCGGCAGGATACTGAACAAAACCTCCAATCCTCTGCCTCTTCTCTGTTCTCTCGGGCCTGGATCCGTCTCCTCAAAGACAGTTGGACAGAGACACAAACCCGTCTGCACTGAAAGATCAAACAGTGTTTAAGCTACAGACACCACTCCTTTGACTCCATTCCAAAAAAACTCTTTATCTCAAACTCAAACTTTCAGCAATACTTATTGTTCTGGCATTATTTTTGAGTTTTGAAGTAAAGTAAAAGGATGCACCTGGTTTGACTCCAGTATCATCTCTCCTGGATACAGGTCAGGGAGGTGATGTTAAGGGAAGCCCCCCCCCCCCCCCCCAACACATCTGCTTCATGTAATAAACCTTTAACCTTCAAAAACCCCCCACTTCATTTTACGTACGACAGTTTCCAACAAAACAGTAGTTGTAGGTTGTCCATGTTCTATTCTCCTTTCTTTGACTGTCTCAACTAAAACACCTTAATTGTACATTGTACATAATTGGACAACTTTGGGGTTTGTTTTCATGTCAAACTGGTGAAAAAAACAAAACTAGACGTGCAAGTAGAAGTAGGTATACCAAATACAAATAAGGATACCTCAGGTTATTTTACCTGTTTGACTTCAATGTCTCCCTAAACCTTTCTCCTGATGTTAATGATTCCCCACATGATTATTTAGAGGAAACTGATTGTGTTGTTTTCTACTGTGATTCTATATTGAGCTATGACTTTGAATTTGTAAAAGTTTAATATCGAGTAGAGGTTTAGTGAATGTAAAGTGTATTCTGAAAAATACATTTGCAGATATATTTTTCTAAACATGCATTGTTCTTATGCCATGTTTGTTGCCATACTTGTTATTAAACATTTTGAACAAAGAGGATATATTTTACCACACAGACCCTCCGGGTTCTTCTGTGCTGCTTCTGTACCGGAATATAAGCACACTAACTGAGTATATATCTAAGTGTCTATCAGTCTTCATACGGGTGATAATGTTGATAAACTTCATCGTTCAGTTATCTAACTTATTGGCTCATTGTTTCAGCACTATTAAATACACAGTGATCATTTAGGACTAAGGTTCAGCTACAATCAAAGGAAATCAAAACCTGTGCGGGACTGAAGGACGCCTGAAGAAACAGATGCTGTTTCACTTTCACTGTTCAGTGAGTTTCAATCAGCACACAGAAAATATCAGTACTCCTGTGTGCTTTTATGACAAAAGAACCTACACGATGTGTTTCACTACCTTGTGGTGTAAAAAAAAACCCCAAAACAAAAAAAAAAGCATACAGTCTCAGAATGTCAGGTGTCTGTTATTCATAACTTTTCCAAGTTTCTAAAAATCGTTTTCATCTGTTCAGGTTTTAAAAGGTTGCGTTGCTATTACCCAGGTAAATTGCTCCACTGCATTGAAAAGCATTTTGTACTCAGCGGCCTCAAACTCAAATTGGAAGCTTTCTGCTGGAAATGGTTCTGCACAACTTGATGGAAAACAATTAGTGGTTTGAATCCCACGGCAGCAAATTATCCCCGCAAATAGGGTAACACACACACACACACACACACACACACACACACACACACACACACACACACACACACACACACACACACACACACACACACACACACACACACACACACACACACACACACACACACACACACACACACACACACACACACACACACACACACACACACACACACACACACACACAGTGTTGTGACCCCCTGAACCTGCCCGCAGACTTTACCAAACATGTACATCTATTTTTCAAACCACACCCCAAAGGCACTTGAACAGACTACCATTACTTCCATGAGAGTATCATGTAACTGTGTGATATTTACATACAAGACAGGCCTGCTTTTACTGCGCACTACTGTAATCTATGTGTTTATGCAGAATGTGATATGAAGCCAAACATGGCACTCTAACTATGTCAACAGGAAGTTTTAGGAGGGCCAGCACAGATGGCTTAAGACACATTTCCTGTCAACAGGCCCCAAGGAAACAAACCATCACCCCACCTCAGATGCTTGTGGTCGCGGACATAAACAACACTCTGAATGATCAAGATATGGAAGAGAAGTTAGTCTTAAATGATTCCCTTTATTTAATCAGATTGACTGAAAGCTAAATAAGAGGAAACAAGATTTTTATTTTTCTTGAAAGAAGTGCTGTAAGTAATGGATTACAAGCCCCCAAAGACACTTGAACGTAATGTTATCACCTACAATTGTTTTTCCACATCGTGTCTGAGGGAAGCTGAAAACAGATACACTATCAGGTTTTAAGCCATCATGGGTCCATTACATTATGAATGTGATCACGATTTCCTCCCCCTGGATTTCAGCTTCATCAGTATTCTTCGGGTGAAATATGAATCATCCGGGCCGCTGAAACACATTCATCTTGTAGCTAAGTGTGATATTACCCTCATTCATCAAAAAAGCGGCAGGCTGATAAACTTCTGACATTTTTACCAGGTGAGCTGGCATGTTCTATCTGTCCGACAAACCTGGACTGTAGCTGTGGTGAAAGCTCTTAAACCTCTGTGACGTCATTCAATTCTAAGAAGATGGAGCTACTATTGGTCATTTGAAATGTAGCCTCGTTTATAACTACTAACATCGTCCTCTGTTATTATTACCTCACACTGTATGCAAAGAGCTCCAGCTGTGCCTCTAGTTCAAAATCTCTAAATGAAATGCTATAGAGCTAAAAGAAGCAGGACAGATCTTCAGCGGCATCTAGTGGTGAGCAGCCGTCAGTGGAGGTGTTGTGTTCGTTCAGCAAGATTCATCTAGTTTGTCGTTGGGCAGGAGCTGCAGTCAGAGCCTCATGGAGACCGGTGGTGCTGGTGACTGCAGCTCCTGGTCCAGCAGCCGGAAGAGCATGGCACTTTTGTTACTCTGTGATGTTTGTCCCAGAGAACGGTGGAGCTGGGCCTGCAGGTAGTGGACGTCCCGCAGCCGCTCCTTACAGTTCAGCTTGGAGAAATACGCTGCAGCCTCGTTCAGCGTGTCCGCAGCCAAAACCGCCAAATGCAAATCTGCAAGGAGACAACAAGCAGCAGTGTTTAAATATAGGCTGCTTTACATCATCATGAGATAGGGATCAGTATTCTGATGAATGATTCAGCTGGGGGTGTAAGGTTGCCCTACCTGCTTGCCCTTGTCCGTTTGGCCTGAACCCAGCCACGGCCATCTGACAGCGGGCTGTCAGCAGGAGGGCTCGGCCTTTGTCCATGACTCCTCCGTGGGCCAGAACAGGCTCAATGGCCTCATGCAGAACAGTCAGGGCCTGCTGAGGAACACCCAACATCAGCTGCAGGAAGAAGAGGAAGCAAAGAGTATGAACAAACAATGACCACTGTACTGCTTTTAATTTGCATATTAGTCAAACATTAAAAAGAGATCAGTAATTTGCATGTTTATGAGTGGTAACGTGTTGTTGCTTACCTGAGTAAAGGCCAGGTGAAGGAGGGTCTCTGAGGCCAGGGACTGTAGGTGGTGCTGTCTAGCCAAGGCCAAGGCCTGCAGGAGGAGAGGAAGAGCTGTGGAGAAGCCAGACGACTCCCAGTGGAGCTCAGCGGTGGAGAGCATCACCCTGTATGAGACAGAAATAGGAGGTGATGTAGAGGAGACAAAAAAAAGCTCAGTCAAATGCCTGAAGCAGCATGTGTGCTTTAAGATATCCACATTTGTATCCTGTCATATTTCATAACCAGTTTGTGCCTGTAAAGATGATTCATAATGTGAATGACAAGCATTAAGTATGTATTGCAGCCCTAAATAAGCTGAGTCAGTTTAATTCCATTAATACAAAAAGCACAGTAGACTAAGATTGGGTCTTTTTTTTTTTACCTGTCTACACAAGAAACAGGTAACATGGGATCAGAAAAAGTGTTATTCAACAAGAGTCCGTCTACCTGATGACCACCTCGGTACATTTGGTCTTCTCACAGTGCGTCTGCAGCCGCTGTAAAACGCTGTACGCCTCAGTGCTTCGGTTGAGAGCCTTCAGAACTTGAGCTTTCCTGTCAGCAGACACAAAACACCAGATAATAATGCAGAAATGACCCATGTATGTGACAGGACTTGTTAAGATTAGGACTGAAGGTTTACCTGTAGAGACCCTCTGTTTTGTTCAAGGCAGAGATCGCTGTGACCAGAGGTTCTGCCAAATGGTATTTCCCTTCATGCATGTGTCTGTCGAATTGGATTTTCAGATCACACAGCATCCAGAGCTGCAGAATTGGAGATTAACGTAAACCAAAAGAACACAACAAACACAAGCTTGTCAATTACCTTTCATAAATTTGAGATAGAAACGTGGACAGTATACCAAATTAGCATGAAGACATTGTTGCTCGGGCTGCAGTAGCTACTATCTTGGTAATGTGGATCTTGCTGTCACATTTACTGAGCTGTCGACCAAAAAAGGCAAACCAACTACAAGCTAAAGCAAGGAAACCAGTGTATATGTTTAAAGCTAGCTGTGGCTTGTCCAACTGAAAGCAAAGAATAAATATACCCTATATTTCCTGAGCCTTATTTGTAATTAAAAATATATAACAGACCTTAAATTTGTTTTGTTTTTTCTACATAACAAACTCCAATCATGATGGAATAAATTAACTGTACTTCTGCTAATTAGGTCAGCTCTGCAAAGTAGCAGAAACTGCTCTCCAAGCTTGTGACTAAGGAACTTAATGTGGTCAAGCCAACTTTTAAAGAGACCTTAATCTTTGACATTAAAGTCACATTTATTTGACATTTGTCAAATAAAAAGTTCTACTGATTTCATTTTTAAAATAATTGGAAGAATGACATTTGTTTAATCTCTATGAAGTACAGAATGTAAAGATGTTATTTATATGGTTATAAAAGCTTAAAAACAAATCTTTAGTAGGTATATCTCGTACCTGCATTCAAAAGACATCATCTAAAAGGACAAAGCTGTATTTACAATTGTTATTTCATTACGCAGATTTTTACAGTCATGA